GTGCAGCAGCATGCTCCCGGCCACTGCACCCTCGCCCTGCTGGGCTCCAGCGATCCTTCTGCCTCAGCCTTCCAAGCAGCCAAAACTACAGGCACATGCTACCATGCCCGGCTGATTTTTGATGTATTGTAGAGACAAGTTGCCCAGGCAAGTCTCGAACCCACGGGCTCAGGCAATCCACTCACCGTGGCCTCCCAAAGTGCTGGGATTACAGGCTCAACCACCAAGCCTGGACAATGACAGAGATTTTAATGGCTATTTTCAAAAAGTAATATATAAAGGGTCGCACATAACAGACATATCACTAACTGGAACCATCAGAAACCACAAAACCCAACTTGTTTTACAAATCAAGTTATCAATAAATTTTGTTAAAACAAAAACTTAAAACCCATTACATTTTTGTTAGTGTTTTGAATGAGGGAAGTCTTACAGAGTATGTAAATGTGAGAGAAATCTAACATCTTAACAGAATCCCAAGGGAAATTCTCACTTTCAGAGAATCAAATTTTTCAACTCCATCTTTTAAATGCTACTTTACAATGAAACAGTTTTCAATCTTGTAACTTAACAAAGGTTAAAATATAAAATGAGTCTATCTTCAGACATGACTTCATTACAGCACTACTAATTTAACTGCAAAATTAAAATTAGGGATAGTCTCTATTTTCTATGTTTATTAATAAAATAATCATGACCCATAATAGAAGACAAGATTTATTTAGAGACAATGTACTTATAATTGAAAATCTACCTATAATTGAAAATCTTTTATATTAACAAAATGAGAATACAATACACAAATACTCATGAAAAAATACTTTATCTGATCTGCTTTATTAATAAGGTTTTTTATATAACATGAAATCCTTAACTCTTTTGTCTATTAAAAAGTAAATCTTCCATATCTTAAGGCTTCAAAAGAGGCAAAATTCTACCCTTAACTTTAATTTTTCGAACTTTAGTATGAAAACTTCAAAACAAAGCGTGTATCCCCAATTCATAAACTTTAAAAACTTATAAAAGGACTTATATCTGCTTGGGATATCATATGTAATTCGTATCCTGAAGCCTCTTAAACCAACTACAAGTGCAGTCCACAGATGTCAGTATATGTGTGGATCACCTGAAAGTGAAATGCCTCAAGACCCATTACAGACCTCGTGAATCAGAATCTGCATTTTATAGCACATCCAAGTTTGAGAAGCACTGTGTTAAAAATCAACACTTCACTCTAACGTTTGTAAATAAAGTATAAAACCTTTCCAATGGCTTAGGGATAAAACGGACACAGGTTGCGGCAATGAGAAAACACAGCCTCCTCTCCCCAGCCAATCCTTAATCAAATAATGCCAATAATTGCTATTTTATAGCCTCCTACCCTACCTGACAAATTCTCTCTCTAAAAATCAATTATGAATAATCTGAGGTGAAACCTAGACCTTTCTTACTGAATTAAAATCAAAATTAGGCCAGGTTCGGTGGTTGAGCCCGTAATCCTGTGCTTTGGGAGGCTGAGGTGAGTGGATTGCCTGAGCCCGCGCAGGTTCAAGACCCGCCGGCCCAACTTGGCGAGACCTCATCTCTACAGTAAATCAAAAAATTAGCCGGGCGTCATAGCGCACGCCTGTAGTTCCAGTTACTTGGAAGACCAAGGCGGAAGGATCACTGGAGCCCAGCAGGTTGAGGATGCAGTGGCCGGGAGTGGCCACTGTACTCCAGTCTGGGCGACAGAATGAGACTCCAACTTAAAAAAAAAAAATCAAAGTTAGAAGGAATGGCATTAAGGGAAAATATTAACTCATTCATACACTTTCTTTTTTAAACAGTATTTATTTTTAATTATTCTTATTCCTTTACCTTAAAAAAAAATCAACAACAGAGGATCGTTTAAGCTCAAGAGTTCAAGACCAGCCTAGGCAACACAATGAGACCTTGTCTCTATAAAAAAAATGTAAAAAATAGCAGGGTATAGCGGTGTGCGCCTGTAGTCCCAGCTACTTTGGAAGGCTGAGATGGAGGCCAAGGCTGCGGCAAACTGTGATCATGACACTGCAGCCTGGGCAACATAGTGAGACCCTGACTCCAAATAAAAAAACACCAACCAACAAAACTTCACTTATAGATTCAAAGCCCCCAGCATTTCCTCCAATTTTGTTTCTAGCCCTACCACGTATTCTTGACATTTCTATGATGCTTAAATATGTAACAGAGGCTGGATCCGATGGCTCAGCCTGTAATCCCAGCACTCTGGGAGGGTGAGGCAAGTGGACTGCCTGAGACCATGGGTTTGAGACCAGCCTGGGCAACTTGCTGAGACCTCATTTCTACAATTAAAAAAAGAAAAAAATTAGCCAGGTATAGTAACGTTTGTCTGTAGTTTTGGCTACTTGGAAGGCTGAGGCAGAAGAATCGCCGGAGCCCAGCAGGTCGACACTTGGGCGGCTGTGAGTACGTCACTGCATTCCTGAAATACTGAAAATTTAAATCCATTATAAAATCCATCTTGATTTTCATATCTATTATTTCATAGATATGAAAACTTATACTACACTCTTGCATGCCACTAGATTTTCTTTTGAGTCATGCTTGGTCATCCAGGCTGGAGTACAGTGGCATAATCATAACTCATGGTAACCTCAAATTCCTGGGTTCAAATGGTTTTCTTGCTTCAGTCTCCTGAGCAACAAGGACTACTGGTGCTGCATCTCAAATGCCTGGCCTCAAGTGAGTCTCCTGTCTCAGTTTCCCACAGTGCTGGGATTACTGGTTTGAGCCATTGCACATGGCTTCTTTTTAACAACACATAAGAAAATTAAGAAAACACTATGTGCCTTATGTTTTGGAATCTCTGAAAAAAGATTCAATTTTAATAGTGAAATACAGTGGAAATAATCAAAGAATCTGAATGTTTTGCTATTCAGAAATTATTTTGGGGAGAATCTGCAGAAAAATTTAAGGCTAGAATATTGCAAATAAGTTGCCTCAAATATATGCCTACAAATAATAGCAAAATAAAGAATTAGCAAGCTGCTCTTTGCCTCCAAAAAATACTTTAAGTACAGTCATACTGAACTACAATGTTTTAAGAATACCTGTGCTTGTATAACATTCAGTAAGTTAAGTAAACAGTAATCATTTTGGTCACATTTTCTGCTATGCTGCTCAGCTTCCCAAGAACTTCAACCAGCAAATATGTTTAGTTCACACAAATGTTAAGGCATGTAGCATGAAATGAACTAATTTTAACTCTAAACCCTGTGAAAATAATTTGCTCCTCCCCTTACAGTCCCCAACATACACCCCCTTCTTCTTCACAAACCCTATACACTAAATACTCATGTGCCCCTTTACTGTTAATCATAACTTGGAAAATAAATGAACAATGTAAAGCACATTTTTCTTAATTAGTATTTTTCACTTAGTTATTTCTTTAAGTTATAATCTTTAGTTCAATTATCCTAAAATTTCTTTGTAAAGTGATCCTTGGTACATGAATATTATACTTAGACAAGAAAATAGTTACAATGATGATGGATTTATGATTATGAAAAAATAAACAAACTTTTATAGGGGCTGGATGGAGGTCCCCGATGAACACAGGAGAACTAACTAGGCAAAAGGTTAAACTTTCTATGACTTGCTGAAGAATGTGCACCTTTCTAAGGGATTTACTTCTGAATAATGTGAAAACTGACATCAGTCACTCATTCTATTCAGAGAACAAGTGAGATATAGCCTCAGCTTAATAGACGAAACAAATATGGGAAGTCAGGCACTAATGTTATCTGGTAATATTGATAAACATTTTAATTACATACATCCTTTCTTTTTTTTAAGCTAGGCAAAACAAACATATATAAAAAACAACAGTTTCAAATTTCTTCCAAAGTAGCTTTTAGATGTAGATGAAAAAAGCGGATAAACTCTTAAATTTCTTACAGTCCAAGTTGCAGTGAAAATATTCAAACTAACTTTCCTTGAATAAATGTAACGAGGCACACTTTCTAGTGGCTAATATCCTCTTCCAAACCAAAAGAAATAAGAAAGGGTATGGATAGCAAAGCTGTCATGTAACATTTTCTCATTACCACAGTTTTACTCGTTCTAGATACTTTTAGAAAATAAACCCATATTAACTATTATCTAAATACAAAACTATGTTTTATTTGTAGACACGAAATCCTACAAACATCTACAGCAAGCCCATGAAGCACTTCTACCATCCATACTGATATCTCAGTATTTAGTATATACAAAATATTTCTATTAAACAGAATCAAAGTATTCACAAGAAGCTGCAGAAAAATGCAAGCAACTGATGAAGACTGAAATTTATAAATTAAAACCATTGTCATCTATACATAATGTACAAAGTGAAGCATTTAAAAATCAATACTATATGTCTCATAAGAATACATTTTCACAGTCAAATGCTGCCACACAAATATTTGCTAATGCAAATGAATGGAACCTTAGTAAATACCGCATTAATGGTTTAATATCCGGAAGTTGAAACTTTTGGTATTTTTCTTGAAAGCTGTACAAAGTTGACATCTATAGGAAAAGTTCCAATTCTTTTGCATCTCACTTGAGGTGTTTTACCTACCAATCAGACTTCCTAAACCTCAGACACAACAAATATGAATTAAAAAAAAACAAGTATAAACAGTTCAACATAATTCAAATAAAATTTCTCAATTTTACTTTACATTTTTTCAACGTACTTTACGTTTCACCAGAATATGCACATGCTTGAGTTTTAGAAAGTGTGAAATAAAATGTATACTCATGGTTTTTAGTTTTTTCTTTCATTATTTCAGTAAGATAATTAAATTTCTTGAAAAATTATGCACAGCAGTCAAAAAAATACATTGTATGAAAAAAAGATCTTACATAATGAACTTACAAAACTGAACTTACATAATAAATCATTTTCCTTCAGAGTTTGAAATATTATCAATTCTGCAAACAGTCTCTTCTTTGAAATTGTGCTATTTCAGAATTTATCAATCAAAAATATCCAGTGACTTTTTAAAAAAACAAAAAGCTTCAATTTTCCTGGGCTGGTGATCTCCAACGGGACTGTAGATTTTTTATTATAGAATTTGCCATACTACCTAGTTTCTCATGCATTTCAAATAGCTGGTTTCCTGAATAATTATGTAGATCTTCTGAATCCAGTTGAAGAGCAAGTGCACTAATCTGTGCAACAAGATTTTTGGATAATGGAGTCTCTAAAGTAACAGGATCAATCAAATCTAAAAGACAAAAAAAAAGAAGAAAAAAAAAACAAAACCACACAAGTTAAAATTAAGTTATTTGCATCATCTTTCTTAAGTTAATCAAAAGTTTAGGGGTCTGAGTTTCAAATTTAGAGAGCATGCTGAGGTACCCTACTTCTCTAGAAGGTGACAAAAGAATCTATCATTCTGTGCTACTACAGAAATGGGCAAACGACTTCATTTTTATTAACATATCTAGAACAGAGTGCATACAGTTATGTCCTCATTTGAGATCTTAATGGCCTAGAAGCTGACAATAAGGAAATAACAACTGGACACACTTGCCATCATTATCAGTTTTTTTAAGAACACATTTGGCATCAACCACAAAAACAAAGAAAAAGTCATGTGTGGTGGCTCATATCTGTAATCCCAGCACATTGGGAGGCAGAGGTGAGAGGATTGCCTGAGCCCAGGGGTGCAAGACCAGCCTGAGCAACATGGATCTCATCTCTACAATACATCAGAAGATTAGCCGGGTGTGGTAGCCATGCGCCTATAATTCCAGGTTGAGGCTGCTGTGGCCATTAGCATGTCACTGCACTCCAGGCCTGGGTGAGAGAGTGAGACTCCAACTCAAAAAACAAACAGCCTGAGCCCAGGGGTTCAAGACCAGCCTGGGCAACTTGGTGAGACCGTGTCTCTACAATGTATCAAAAAATTAGCCAGGCTTGGTAGCATGCACTTGTAGCTCCAGCTACTTGGAAGGCGGAAGGATTGCCTGAGTCCAGTAGGTCAGCGCTGGGGTGGCTGTGAGTGTGCCATTGCACTCCAGCCTGGGTGACGGAGTGAGATTCTGACTCAAAAAAACAAACAAGCAAACAAACAAAAAAAGCCTTGAATTAACAAATCATGGTCAAATCCAACTAAAACAAAAAGCATAACAAAACGCTTATTCAAGTCAGCTAATAATCTAAAATTTATCCTGCTTTGCTAAAATATACCTGAAGCAAGTCGTTCTTCATCAGGACACAAGGACTTATTTTCTATTCCATTTACTGTTTTCTCAGAAATATCAAAAACTGGAATCTCTTCTAGTCCACGAGATTTCACCTTGATTACACATTCAGAGCAGGAAATAAAAGAATAAAACACAACATACTGAAATTTATTTTTAATAATAATGTAAACACTGGGAAAGAACATTGTGTGGAACATATGCTCCACATGCCCACCACCAACTGACTTGGCTAATCTTCCTAAGAAACTATGTTCTACTGATGACACACAAAAAAATTATTATAAAATATCTCTTGAAGAGATATCTGCAATATTCCATAATATCTTCCTCAGGAAATACAGCCATGGCAGCTAAGAAAATTACATTATACTTCTCAAGTTCAAGAAAGTGGAGTTTAAATAATATACATTTCTTTTTGAAGAACACATTTCCTAAGTGATCCTAGGACCTACGGAACACTGATTGAGAAAATACTACACTCAGAACGTTAGAATTACCATATGACTCAGCAATTCCACTTCTAGGTATTACCCAAAAGAACTGAAAACATATGTCCATATAAGAACTTGTATACCAATGCAGCAGCATTATTTATAATAGCAAAAGGTAGAAAACTCAAATATCCATCAACTGATAAATAAACAAATATGGTATATCCAAATAATGCAATATTAGTCATTAAAGAAAATGCTATTATAACACATGCTATATCACGAATAAACCTTGAAAATATGATAACTGAAAGAAGTTAATCACAAAAGATCATAAGTTGTATGACCCTACTTTTATAAAATGTCCAGAACAGGTAACAGGTCAGAATTTCTTCTGGGGTGATCATAAAATGCTCTAAAATTAGATCATGGAGATGGCTGCATAACTGAATATATTAAAAAGTATTTAACTATACATGTTAGGTGAGTGAATTTTATGTAAATTGTATCCCAATCCTGTTAAAAAAATATTTACTGTGTGTGTGAGTATATACACACATACATACACACTAGTTATATATATTATATATATCTATAATATATATAATATATATTACTAGTAGTTTCTGGCTTTCTCTTGTAACTGGTTAACACTTCTGGGGGGAGCAGAATTGGGTTTTCACCATGTTGCCTGTGCTGGTCTCAAATTTCTGGCCTCAAGTAATCTTCCTGCCTTGGCCTCCCACAGTGCTGGGATTGCAGGCATGAGGCAGAGCAGGCCCAGCCAGCAAATGTTTTTAAGATTACAAATAAGTAAACATAAAACAATTACTTTCAAGAATACAACAGAAGTCTTCAGTAGCTGGCACACCCCAGTTGGAGAAATTCTGACAAAGAACCCTGCTTTCATGTGCTCAACTGGTAAGTAACTGCAAAATGCAAACATTCTATAATCCAGAAATATCTGAGGTCCAAAACACTTCTGTCCTAAGCATTTCAGATAAGGGACACACAATCTGTAGTGTCAATGGGCAAGTCGAGGCTGCGGTGGCCGGGAGCGGCCACTGTACTCCAGTCTGGGCGACAGAGTGAGACTCCAACTCAAAAAATGTCCATAATTCAAAATGTTTATGTGCAAAACGTTGATAGGAAGAACAAGTAAGAAAAATAAGCCACAAATGGGCTAGATATTACAAATTTGTATGTTTTTTTGTTGATGTTTAGATTCTTGAACATCTAGGTTTTAGCAAGTAGTCATACAATCACCCACCAAATGGTGGAAATAAAAAAGGCAGTAAATCAGAATTAAAAGAATAAAAGGCAATTAAAAACCAAATCACCAGGTATAGTGGCTCACGCCTATAAACCCAGCACTTGGGGAAGAGTTAAGATGATTGCCTGAGCTAAGGGGTTCAAGACCAGCTGGGCAACATGGCAAGACCTCATCACTACAATAAATAAAAAAATTTAGCTAGGCATGGTGGCACACACCTGTGGTTCCAGTTACCTCAAAGGCTGAGATGGAAGGATCTCCTGAGCCCAGCAGGTCGAGGCTACAGTGGCTGAGAGTGAGACTGCACTCCAGCCTGGGTGACAGTGAGACTCTGACTCAAACAAACAAACAAACCTGGGGTGCATTACAAAAAAAGGACAGAATAGGCCAGGCGCAGTGGCTCATGCCTGTAATCCCAGCACTTTGGGCAGCAGAGGTGAGAGGATTGCCTAAGTGCAGCTCTTCAAGACCATCCTGGGCAACTTGGTGAGATCTCATCTCTACAATAAATGAAAAAAAATTAGCCAGGTGTGGTAGGTAGAATGTGCCTGTGGTTTTAGCTACTTGGAAGGCTGAGGGAGATGATAGCCTGAGCCCAGCAGGTGGAGGCCGTGGTGGTCATGAGCGTGCCACTGCACTCCAGCCATGGCAACAGTGAGACTCCGACTCCAAAAAAAAAAAAAAAAAAAAAATTTAAAAATAAATAAGCAAATTTCTGTGATTATAAAGTGATCTTTTAAGTTACTCTTGACTTGGGGAAAGGCACCATAAAATAGGCTTTTAAGCAAGAACAGTTTAACAAACTTCTGCAATTGTATTGCTAGATCATTTATTAACACATATTTGTAACTAACATCTAACTTTTTTACCTGCTGTTCATGATAAACTCTGAGAGCCTTTCTTACATTTGATACTTTTGGAGAACGAATAGGAAGAGTTTTTATCTCAGAAGGTGTAAGAGTACTCAAATCACCAATTGTTTTTATATTCTTGGCTCTAATGAGCTGTCCCAGGCCTCTTGCCCTGAACAAAAGAGAAAAATGAAATATAATTATACAGTTTTATCTATATGCTATTTTCAGGAGCTTATCCAATCTGAATTTCTCCATTTAAGCTCAATAACTGGGTTTATTTATATAGGTCCATCTAACCCACAGTGAGGACAGGCATATGTATGTTTAATTTAAAATAAAATTTGAGGCCAAGCACAATGGCCTGTAATCCCAATGCTTTGGGAGGCCAAGGTAGGAGGATTGCTAGAGGCCAGGAGTTTATGACTAGCCTGGGCAACACAGCGAGAACCTGTCTCTATTTTTAAAAAACAAAAAATGAGAAAAAAAATGAAATGTGTAAAATAAAACTTGAATCAGATGTGAATGCCTGGAATAAGCAATAGCACTGGAAACATAATGAGCCTACTGTGTGTTGTGTTTTATATACATTTTTATTTAAGATAATTCTTAGATTTCCATAAGTACATATAACTGTTTTCTAACTGTGGTTGAAAACACAGGTAGGTAGGGTAGGAAGAAAAAGCTTGTTATGCCACTAAGCCCAGTTTTACCTACAGCTTGGGTTCCTCATTGGTTTTTTAATCTCTCCTAACCTACACACCCTGTTTAATGTTCCCTCTCTCCAATAATCAAAAATGAACTCAGTATTTCTATAACATTTTACTGAATCGTTAAATTACTCAGTTTGAGAACATTTCGTCTCTTACTGGAGTTAAGGCAGTTTGCTAATTTAATTAAAGAGAAATTATCTCTAGGTATCCAAACTACCTATGGTAATCTGGAATTGTCTACACATAAGCATTTAAGTTTCCAAGACTGAAACATCAAGGAAACGACCTTTTAACATGAAAAAAAACAAAACAAATCACTTCATGAACAAATTATATATATATGAATCTCATGCATCACTAACATTATCTGTGCAATTTTGGTGGTAATTTCTGAACACTTCATCTTATAAAGTAGAAATGATATTCATATTCCTTATGGGATTAAGTAAGATAAAAGAAATGGTTTAAGCAAGGGACCTAAATATTAAACATATATTTATCTTACTATATTAAAATAAAGTCTTCTCATATTGCCCTAGCTAATCTACCTTCCCAGGTGCTTTTTCAAAATAAAGTATGTGGGAGAAGTTAATGCCAATCACTTCTAGACATGAGACCTCCACCATTCAAATACTCCCCTTAAATAAATATCATTTTGGAATATAAACCAGAAGCCCTAATAACCACTTACCACATGTTTGACGTAATCTGAGGTAAAATGATGTCAACTGGTGCCACACAGTTCACCAAAGCTGGGTAAACACTTTCTGTTGGGCAAGGCATGGATTCTTTGACCATTTCTGAAATCTTAGAATGAATTTCAAAAGTTAAATAGAAGTCACCTGACCAAACATGAAAATAGAATAAGTTACATGAAAACTAAAGCACTTCTTACTAAACACTTCTTTGAGCTCTTAAATTTAGGGCTACGTGATCCTGGGGACAGAAATCCTTTGGTTGAAGTGGTATTATGCTAAAGGAGAGAAAAAAAAACTCACTCAGAACCCTAGATAGCTGTAATCTTAACAATTTTATTTTCACAACTTAAGACTGCAATCATTTCTTTAAAATTTAAGAAAACAAATAATCTACTATCTAATCAATCACCTGCTGAATCATCATTGCCTCTCACCATCTCTTCATGTAGCAGACAAAAGAACTATATCCAAACCATTTATTGTTTCTCAAATACTACTTTTATGACTGTACACATATATGCATATTCTAAAGCCTATAGCTTACCTTAGATTGTGCAGTAGGAGAGGTTTTAACACTTTTTACTATGGGAGAACTATTTGAAGAATGGGACCTAACAACACAGCATCGTCTATCAATGTCATCTGCCAACCCTGCTTGGTATATTGGATCTGCAAAGGAGACACGACGAACCTGAAAACATAGTTCACATTTTTACTTAAATTTTGAAAATTTATTTTTTAAAATGGCACCATAAATTCTCATTATGGGTTACTCAAAACCAGAATGTGGGTTTAAAAGCTTAATTTATTTCACTAGAAGCAAATTGCAGTTGTTCTTCCCATTGACTGTTTTTCCAAGTAATATTGTTCAATAACAATTCATTCAAATTATCTATGTTGTAAATGGTCTGCATAATGTAACACCAAACACTGTGAAATATGGACAGTAACTTAATGAAACTATGTGGCAGTTTAAACTGTATAATGTGATTCTAATAACCTTACTGGATTATACTAAACTGAATGGGAAGAAGACAAAGAGGTAAAAACAGAAATAATGGGCCCCCAATATATCTTACTAATCTTTGTTCTAAACTATTTGAGGGTATCATCAGAGTCACAGACATTGTAAAGCAATTTGTGTCTTTCTGAGCCCCAGCTTGAAGTAACTTTGGCTCTTCTAATCTCTTATAATTATGTTCACTTATTCAGCTATTTGATATTTATAAATACACATTAAAGTACTCTTATCAGTAATATGTTTTTATACACATCTTCTGTTCTTGATTCCTAAGAATGGGCAGATTCATTCTTTCTCTACCTACTTACCTCCTACCTATCTATCTATCTCTGGTCTTGATTCCCAAGAATGGGCAGATTCTACATGTGACTGAGTATATGTGTGTATGTATACACAAACATCTTATCTGGTATAGCAAACTACAGTATGTTGTTCTGTTGCCTAGATATTAAGTATGAACTACTATCAAACAAAAACAAGTTAATTTATATTAACAATCTAAAATATATTAAGACACCAATCTCAATGCAAACTACCTTCATAAATTTTTCAATGGCCTATTATGTTTGAGATACTTACATAACAAACAAACAAACCCAGAAACTGAGTAATAACCTCAATACAAAAGAAAACAAAACAGAAACTCAAGGGCTGGGCACCCTTCCTAAATAATCTCTGAATCTGCAGAAGAATTTTCAGTACATCTTCAAAAGCTGAACAGTTAAGAATAATAGGAACATGGATTGAGAAGTTTTTGCTGGGCATGGTGGCTCACGCCTATAATCCCAGCACTCTGGGAGGCCAAGGTGAGAGGATTGTCTGAGCCCACAGGTTCCAGACCAGACTGGGCAACTTGGTGAGAACTCATCTCTAAAATAAATCAGGGAAAATAAAATAGCTGGGTGTGATGGCGCATGTCTGTAGTTCCAGCTACTTGGAAGGCTGAGGCAGAAGGATTGCCTGAGCAGAGTAGGTGAAGGCTGCCGGTGGTCATGAGTGTGCCACTGCACTCCAACCTGGGCAACAGAGTGAAACTTATACTCCAAAAAAAAAAAAGTAGTTCTCAAAATACGTTTGCTGACAGCAAAAAGCAAGATGTTATGTTTATATATACATGGTCCTACATATAAAGTGTATTCTACAGTAAATAGTAGATTAAAACTTAAAATTAAGTTATGGAATGTCAATATCATACCTTAGATCACAAAAACTGATAAAGATACATCTTGATAATTTTTTTCCCTTTTAATTAGACACGGTCTGCAAATAAGTTTATATAAACACTTATATAAAACAGCATGTCCCAGCACACACCAAGTGCTAAACTTGCTTTATCAATACTGCCTGAGTTCATAAATCTGTTTCCTCATATATTATCATATGAGGAGCATTAATAACCATGAGTCATCAATTTTTCCAAAAGTGAACAACGTGCATAATTACATAAAGATCTTTACTACTGTGAAATGAAGGAATATCTAAAGGGTTTCAATCTGCTTTTTTCAACATCTACAGCTGAGTGTGGTGACTCACACCTATAATCCCTATTCTTTGAGAAACTGATGGGAGAGAATCTGCCTGAGGCCAGGAGTTCAAGACCAGCCTGGGCAACTAGGAGAGACTGCATCTCTACAATAAATCAAAAAATTAGCTGGGCATGGTGGCACACACCTGAAGTTCCAGCAACTTGGAAGGTTGAGGTAGAAGGATCATGGGCCCAGCAGGTCAAAGCTGCGGTGGCCGTGGTGTTCTCCAACTTGGGTGACAGTGAGACTTTGACTCAAAAACAAACTTCTCTTCTACTTGTCCTTTCCCCTAGCAACCATGGCTAATAATCAAAATGAGTGGTCATATAATTCTATTTTGTCATTCATCAGGTGTTACTCTATAGCCAAAATATTCCCAAATACTGGGACCCTTAATATTCAGTCTCATTCCCCCTACCTTGTTAATGGGTGATGAGATCTCATCCTCTTGGGGTCTTTTTAGTCCTCTCTTTAAAATGCTGGTCGATGGAGAAGCCAAAGGAGACCAGACACAGCGTGTCTGCATGCCACTAGGACTGTCATTTGCTGACACAAGTAAAGGATCAAGTTCCCTTAATTTTTGAGGAGATGCATTATTATCTTCTATTATCAGTTCAGAGATAGCGGTTTCAGATGTCAGAGATTGTGATGGTCCCTCAACACTGTCTGAAATATGGTGAACTTCCTGCAAAATATTTCCCACTACCATCTGATTATTATCTAATTTTGTTTCTTCGGATTTAAGTTCAATATCTGTTTCAGTTTTATTTGAGTCAAATTTTTCTTCTTTAGTACTCATTTCAAGCATGTCAGAAACAAAGTTGCCAATTTCTGAATTTAATCTTTTGGTTTCAGCTTCTTCAGGCTTACTACAGGTTTTGATAGCTATGTCTCCATCCTCTGTTTCATTAACATGATCAGTTTCAGCATTCACTTCACCAATCATCGTTTCTGCACAATTTTCAACTTCAGCAACACTCATTTCTTTAGATGAGCCTAGATCAGATCCATCGTTTGTTCTTTCTAGTTCCCTATCTGCTGTTTGTTCAGAAACCTCAGGTTGAGCACTCAATTTTATTGGTGCAGTGTTATCAGAAAGATCAATACCTGAATTAAATTCCTCAGCTGTTGCCTCAGCATTCAGTTCTTCACCTGTGTTTGCTTCAGATTCATCACTTCTTTTACTATTTTCTTCTGTTGCTGATTCTCCAGAAATGTCCATTTTGGAAGTCTCTTGTTCAGAGAAGCTAGCTTCAGATTTATCACTTCTTGCATCCAATTCCATAGTTTCCACTCCCTCTAGATTGGATTCTGTCACTTTACATTCATTTCCTTCAATATTAAAACTCTCTAAGCCTAGTTCCTTTTTTGGAGTAGCTTCCAGTTTTCCAACTTTGATCTCCAAAGAGCACTCCTGTGAAGTAACTTTGAAATCCCCTAAACATGGGCCAACAGTTTTAAAATTTTCATCAGATGGCTCCTGACTTTCAGGAGACATTGCTTCACTACAATCCATATCACAAGTTTCCTCCTCAAAATTTACCATTTCAGAAGGAAGAGATTCTTGCGCAGTATTTGCTTTCAACTCAGTTTCAGATGTAATTAGTGAATCATTAATGGTATCATTATCCTCCTTGAGACTCAAGTGGAAATTCACACTGTGATGCTCTTCTACAACTTTTACTTCAGAAGACAGACTAGTTTTAGAAGTTTCTGATATAGTTACAGATGCTTGCACATCTGTCTTTTTTGTTTCACTAATCTTTACATCGCAATCTTCTGTGTTCTTCAACCCAATGAATGACTTTTCCTGAGGCTGTGATTTTTCTCCACAGCAATCACAACCTTTCGATCTCCTCACCCTCCTGCTTCTCTTGTGCTGGCATTCAAGTGTTGGAAGGGTATTTTCAGAAAGCAAAGAAATGTCCGATGCCCCTACTTTTGAGGAGTCTTCTGCACTACAATTATCAGAAGAGTCTCGCTTATGTAATCTTTTGTTAGCATTTCTAGTCCTTAGATTTGATTCTGGCACAGGTGGACTTGTAAAGGAATGTTCTGCACATTTGCCAGTTTTACTCTTTTCTTTGTACATATTTGATAAATCATCAGAAACTTGCAACAAATCTGAAGATACTGTAGAATCCCGAAGTACTACAGTATTACTTTCATCTTGCTTTTCACAAATCTGAGATTTTATGTCTATAGCTACTTCAGAACTTGCTTTATAATCATGTGTCTGATTTTCAGCTTTTATACATTCCTGTTTTGCTATTTTCTCTACTTGGTCTTCAATGTCAACACTGTCGTTGCTTTTGTTTTTCCATTTTCCAGATCTCTTCTTCCTAGAACTTTCTTCTTTTGCCTCAGAACTATCAGATTCTGAGTTTTCAATGCTGGAAAGCAAACCCTGAGATGCTCTTCTTGTTTGATATCGTGTTCGGCCCCTTATTGGTTTCTCAGAGGACTTATCTGCAATGTCCTGGGAACCATCTCCCTCAGACTTAATACTCTCAAGGTCTGGCTTTCTTTTATTTTGCTCAATTTCAGCATTAGCACTGGTTTCTCCAAAAGTCTTCTCATTTAAATTATTTCCTTTCTCAATTAAATTCTCCTGTACAGTTTGCTCAGAGATCAGTTTTTGCTTAAGTAACACATCATCTTTTATTTGCAATGGACTCTTCTGAAGAGATTTTTCTTCATCCTTACGTCTTTCCTTTTTTTGATTATTATTTTCTTTATCTTGGCTATCAATGGTAGACTCTATTATTTCTGAACGTCTTCTTGAAGATCGTCTAAGGGTTTTTTGATTTGAAGTTATCTGAACCTGACTATCCTCATTTACCATTTGATCTGCTGGTATTACCACTGGAGGTGTATTTTCTTTGCATTCCAAATTAATTTCCACAGTTTTCTCCTCTACAGTATTGTTTTCTGATAATACAACATTTTCTATAGTTGATTTAAGTTTTGTATCTTCATACTCCATTGTAGATTCTGAATAATTACCCTGATTATCTGATACACATTCTGTTTGATTAATCAAAACAGGGGGTTTATTTTCTAAGGCTACCATGCCCTCAGGAGATTCCTGAGTACTTCTCTCCTGCTCAGATCGCATTAGCTTAGACCTTTTATTCCCTGTTTGGTCAGCTTTACCTGATCTCCGGCCTGATCTCTTAGTTCCATTCACTATTTTTTCAGAATCAGATTTGAAAACAGTCACTTCTTTTTGCTTTGCTTTTAGTGGAGTATCTGCTTTAATTGTGTTTTCCTGGTTATTTTTCACTGTAACAGTTGATGACATATTATCCAAGGGGGATGGGCTAAAAGGTCTATTTTCTGAACCATCAAACTTCTCCAATGTAATAAAAGTTTGTCTCCGACTTGTAGGCTGTGAGGGAGTTCCAGAAACAGTAGCATTAGAAAGTGAGCTACTGCTGACAACTAAAGAATTATCTATATTAGATGTACATTCAGTTTTCTTTGTTTTCTTTGATGAAATCAAAGTATTGTTTCTGGCATCATTATTACTGGTTAGTATTTTTGGACTGGCTTCATCAACAGAACCACATTCATTATTTGAAAGGGAAGACTTTTCAAGATGTTCGTTCATACCACAGTTTTCCACGACATCTTGAAGAATGACAACGTCACTGTCCATATTCTCCCCCTGCACAGAAATATATATATATATATTTATGTATATTAACCAGAAAACAAGTTTGACTTTCTAGAAAAGTATAAAACTTTAGTAATTCAAAAGATAATCAGCAACTTTCAATATATTGCAAACATTCCAAAGTTAGTGGTATATGCCTATTAGTTTGTATTCTTAACTGTAAATATGCAAGCTGTAAATATTCAAATCAATGCAAGCCAAATACACTTATTTTAAACACCATACACACACAATGACTATAATTCTGCTAGTTTTTGAGGAGTTAAGAGATTTTTACAATTAAAAAAAATCTTAAAACTAATAAAGTGAAGACCTACAGACAACCTTCTAGCAGCTTAAGAGACTCTATAGTGGAAGGGTAATTCCAAAAACTCTGTAATGTAAAATATCAAATATACCTCACTCATTATCTTGGAATCTTCCTTTGCTTTTGTGGCTGAAGTAGAAATTTCCCTGAAATAAATAATTGTAGAAATTAAAATAGCTTTTATAATTACTTAAAAATTAATAAAGTTATAAAAGTGTGATGGTTTCCATACTTACAGAGACTCTTCCTGACTATACTGAGAAAATAAGGTATCCTGGGAAATATCCAGATTATTATACATGGTGGGAATATCACACCTGAAAAACAATTTATATAAGTAACTACAAAAATCTGATATTACTATACTTAGAAATTAAACTTACAATTCTACCAAGTTGCTTTCAAAAGCAATATAAAATCAAGACCTAGACATTTACTTTCCAGATTTTCCAAAAAATTATCTTCCCTTCCCCAGTAAAGGAATTCACTTCATAAACATTCAGTAAGTTACTAGGTAAAGTCATACATTATGAAATACATTTGTGTACCGTATATCTTTTGGCATTAAAATTTAGTATACACAGTATCTTTCTTAGTTTAAAAAACAAAGTTATAGTTTGCTACATGAACTCTAAATCAGAATAAAAAATAGCCAGTTAAGGATAAAAGGTCTACAAACCTCTTTGTTTTGAGTACTTCTTTTTGATGTTCAGTTAGTACTCTTTCCTTTGCATCTGTTCCTTCTGGAGGTATAAACACAAAGTCAGTAGACTTCTCCTCTTCCAAAAGAATTTCACTCTTTGCTTTTGGAGATGAAGATTCAAATTTCAGCTGCAGATATTTAAAAAAAAGTGTGAAAGAGAATTAAGATAGCCGACAAGCAGCAGCTAGAGTAATTTCTCTCAGGAAGTGAACCAAAAGAACAGAGTTCCTCAGCACTCTCAAAGAAAGGAGACGAGCAGCATATTCCACAATCGACAGACAAGCAGTTAAGATACACAGAATGCAAATAAGAGAAAAACTGATCAGTCTGCATTGAAACTACCTAGCCACCTGTATCACTGCATAAACCACGATCATCCTCCGGAAGCAATGGCAGAGGTGAATGAGGGGAATTCAGGAGTTCTGCGCTCCTGCCACAGAATCTGAAGGTCCCCTTAGCCATGTGGTACTCTAGTCCCTCACAAGAAATTGCTTTACCCATAGTAGTGTTCTACCAAAACCCACGAGCATCACAGGAAAAAAAGCGTTGAGTAGCCAGGTGCACTGGCTCACGCCTGTAATCCCAACATTTGGGAGGCAGAGGAGACAGGATTGCCCGAGCTCAGGGGTTCAATAAAATCAAAAAATCAAAAATATGAGCCGGGAGTGGTGGCATGCACCTGTGGTTCCAGCTGCTTGGAAGGCTGAGGCTGGCCTGAGCCCAGCAGGTTGAGGCTGCAGTGGCTGTGAGTGTGCCACTGCACTCCAGCTCATTTTTTTTATTTTTTGATTTTATTGTAGAGACAGGTCTTACCATATTGCTCAGGCTTGTCTTGAACCCCTGAGCTCAAGCAATCCTGTCTCCTCTGCCTCCCAAAATGTCAGGATTACAGGCGTGAGCCAGTGAACCTGGCTACTCAACGCATTTTTTTCCTGTGATGCTCGTGGGTTTTGGTAGAACACTACTGTGGGTAAAGCAATTCCCAGCCTGGGTGATAGAGTGAGACCCAGACTCAAAAAAATAAAAAATAAATAAAAAATAAAAAATCCAGCCGGGTTCGGTGGCTCAGCCTGTAATCCTGCGCCTTTGGGAGGCTGAGGTGAGTGGATTGTCTGAGCCCGTGGGCTCAAGACCCGCCTGGGCAACTTGGCAAGACCTCATCTCTACAATAAATCAAAAAATGAGTCAGCGTGGTAGCGCATGCCTGTAGTTCCAGCTACTTGGAAGGCTGAGGCAGAAGGATCACCGGAGCCCATCAGGTCGAGGCTGTGGTGGCCGGGAGCGGCCACTGCACTCCAGTCTGGGCGACAGAGTGAGAGTCCAACTCAAATAAAAAAAAAAAAACAACCAAAAAAACCTTGAGTAGCTGGTCTGGGAGGAAAGGGAAGACCTGATACTCTTATCTGCCCCAAGAGCAAATTCCTCTGCAGCAGAGTTCCTTGGGGTCAACAGCACTTTTACATTCTGAAAGCAGACCACCTGAGGCTATGGTGGGAGGAGATGCATGGGATTTATTGCCATAGCAACCTTCCATTCCTCTGGTAAATTCTTTTGAATAGCTCCTGCCCAACAGAGCAGCATTACCCCAGCAGCCAGAACTCTTTCCCAAGTCCCAGTGAGGCAGGCAATAGTGCACATAAGTGGAAGCTTGAGTACTTTCCCCCTCAATACTGCTCTCGAAGACTCAAAACACTGCCTAGGTAGGCTGGGTACTTTCTTGGGGAACCACAGGCCAAACAGAAAGCCCAAAGCCACCATCACAGCTTGTACTCTCAGGCAAGCGCCATCTCCTGGCCAGAGAGTACACCTGCAGCTCTCAAACTGAAGCTCGAACCAGTTAAGTAGGCAAAAGTTGCCAATATAATATGCCCCACATACAAGTAACTTTGGAGCTACAATGAATGTCATCTTTGTAAACGTTTGTTGCAACCAGTTTTGTTCCATCTACAGTTGCTACAAGTACGTATCAAATTTCTTTTTAAAAAATAATATTTTTGTTTCATTTTACCTGGACCAAGGTTTAAAGATTCTAGAGTAAGATTTATTGGAGGTCATGGGAGAAAGAATTGTTGTCTGAAAGCCAGTTAATTGGTAACTAGCAAGATACTCAGTTTCAGATGCGGTTAATAGAGATGTTTTACCTAGGCATTCTTCATCTATTTCTATTCAAACTATTAAGTTCTAAAATAACAACACAGTGGTCCTAAATAAAAGTTATAATCTCCCTCCTGTGCTATATATGTTAGTCATTCATATCTAGCTTCATTCTACCTCAAGTGGTTGCTGCCTAGAATACTACACATAATAGATGCTATGTATTACAGAAACTCATCTTTACAAAAAGAATCATCATTCAAGTCTTCTAGATTTCCATACTACCCTAGTAGTCTTACTAAACCAAATTCTCTTATTCTGCTGCAATCTCCTACACTTCATTTAGTCTTTGACAGCTTTTTTCATTGATTGAGAAGTTGTACGTCCTTGAGCTACTATATATTTTATCTTAAAAATTCCTTTGAAAACATACTTTGGCAGTTGGTTTTATATTTTCTCTTTTATCCTTTGTTCGTGCCAAAAAGGACTCTCTTTTTCCATTCGATTTTCTCTCCATGCCACTTATCTTCACATTTAATTGGGAATTTTCTGTCTGTTTCATTAAAAACAAAAACATTTCATTAAGTGCAACTGTACTACTTTGTTACTCCTTTTCACATTTTGAAAATTCCAGTCTAATAAATACTCATTTTGAATACTGTCAAATTTGATTATCCAGGCTTATTTAAAAAAAAAAAATCAAAAGAATGCAAAGAATCTCACTCTGTCACCTAGGCTGGAGAGTAGTAACACAAACACAGTCCCCGCACCCTCAGTCTGCTGGGCTCAGGCGATCCTTCTACCTCAGTCTTCCAAGTAGCTCGTACCACAAGCGTGCGCCACTATGCCTCGCTAATTTTTTGATTTATTATAGAGAAGAAGTCTTGCCAAATTGCCCGGGCTGATCTCAAACCTATGGGCTCAGGCAAATTCTCTAGCCTCTGTCTTCCAAAGAGCTGGAATCACAGCATGACCATGGCCAGCTATAATAGCTTTTTAACACCATTTAATGTTTTGAATTCTAAAAATAACACATAGCACATCAACAGTGCAAAGTGAACCAACTTAATGGGCTAAAATATTCCACTCACTACTAAAAATATTTCCGAGAGAAAATTCAAAGCCAAAAAGCTTTAAACATTAAACAACAGAGCGTTAATAAAGCAGGTATGATAGAAAATATTAATGCACCAAGCACTTTCCCCTCAACAGAATATATGGCTTTTATGGAACAAATTCTACTAAACAGGTCCTAACAAATCTAACAGTTATCTGGTGAAAATTTTTAGCCAAAACAAGATAAAGTACATAATTTTTATCCTATTATATATTTTAAAACAACAAAAAAGAAATACCTCATCTGTTCCAAAAGTTTTCTAAGGATGCTCCACCTCATGAATATCTAGTACCTCCAAACTCCTAGATCTTTAGGCAATAATCAAGTATTATTAGTAAAGGTATTATTAGTAAAAGGAACCTTGCTCCTAATTTGTGATATGATGGCATACGTTTTCTTTTTTTATAGAAGAAATGATAAGAAACAATGGAAAGAAATGAGAAAATAAAGGGTAGCTCTTGCTTAGAAATGGATTAGTACCTATTATTTCTAGCTTTGCAAAGCAGTAACTAAATATGTATTCTAATAATTATACCCTTTATACAACAGAACATATGAAATATCTGAATTTTAAAAAAACCAGTAATGAACAAGAACAGAGATTTCTATGAAAATCTCTAGTGAGAAAATTTTGCCTTTAATTCATGTATTTCAGGTCAGACAACTGACAACATGAAAAAATCCTATGTTACAAAACTCTTCTTCTATTCAAGTTCCACTTGTTTTTACTTGCAAGAAGCAAACTACTAAAACAACATTCCAAAGTTAAAAACAAACAAACAAAAAAAAGGAAACCAACTTACTGAATCAGAATATGGTCCACTGGATTCCTCCAACATTTCAACAGTTTCCAAACCAGGCAATAGAAGCAGAAATTTTTGTTTGGTTTGTCTTAGTATTGGTCTTTAAAAAAAGGACATAAATTTATATATCTTGAGTCAACTGGTGAACACTGATAATATGTTAACAACAGCACCTTAATTATAACTTTAGAGCAGCTACATACATTTGGCTTCTTACCATATATGTATAAATTGGGAAAATTAGACAATCTTTGTATTTCCCCCTATACTTCTCTGAATTTTATCATGGAAAATTTCAAACAAAAGTAAGATACTATATCAAGAATTTGTGTCTAGCTTGAATAACCATCCATTTCTGGCCCTTCTTGTTTCTTTTGTTAAAAATAACTTTAAGCTGGCACGGTGGCTCACGCCTGTAATCCCAGCACTCTAGGAGGTGCCAAGGTGAGAGGACTGCTTGAGCCCACGGGTTCAAGGCCAACCTGGGCAACCTGGCAAGACCTCATCTCTATAATAAATCAAACAATTAGCTGGGCATGGTGGCATATGCCTGTAGTTCCAGCTACTTGGGAGGCTGAGGCAGAAGGATCACCTGAGCCCAGCAGGTCGAGGCTGCCGTGGCTATGAGCGTGCCATTGCATTCCAGCTTAGAGTGAAATCCCAACAAAAAAAAAAAAATCTAAATTTAAATTGCTTTTCTTGGTTCTTCAAAATCAAGGTTACTCTAAGAGAGGATCTCCCCCCCACCAAAAAAGGACCAAATATTAGTGATTATTCTGTACTCCAAAAGATAATATTTCACCTAAGGGAAGTCTATGTAATGACCCCTGTAAGAATAGTATGAAAGGGGAACCCCCCAAACCCCAGAATTATCTTTTGGGTAATTGTAGTACAGGGTTCCCCTACGAGGTATGTGCTCAAGGAACACACTGGCACCAGTGTACCAGCCATATCAGAGGCTGCGTTCAACTTTAGTGAATTTTTTAAAGAGATTCTTTCAACGCGTTTGCCCATTTCATGACGGGTGATTTGCAAGAGCAGCTGCCCACACCACACTGAGTGTTCAGCAGTTTTTGACCAAAATGGCGTAATCTCTATACCCAACCCTCGTTATTCACCTGATTTTGCCCCAGGCAACTTTTTTTATTTCCCCAGATTAAAAAAGTCCTCAAAGAGAAACGTTTTGCTGATGTGGAAGAGGTAAAACAAAAACTAGCAGAAGCACTAACAGACATAAACAAGATTGATGAGTTCAGAAACTGTTTTGAGCAATGGAAAAAATGCCTGGACACATCTATTTCACCAAACAGAAAGAACACTGAAGGTGACTAAAGTTTAACCGTGTTAAGAATACATAGCTATCTTATTTATCTTTTGAGTTGGAGTCTCACTCTGTCACCCAGGTTAGACTGCTGTGGCATGCTCACGGCCACCGCAGCCTTGACCTGCTGGGCTCAGGCAATCCCTCTGCCTCAGCCTTCCAAGTAGCTGGAACTATAGGCATGCACCACCAAGCCTGGCTAGTTTTTAAAACATTTATTGTAGAGATGAGGTCTCACCAAGTTGCCCAGGCCGGTCATGAACCCGTGGGCTAGGCAGTCCTCTAACCTCAGCCTCTCAAAGTGTGAGGATTATAGGCATGAGCCACTGTGCCAGGCCACATAGTTTTTTAATAAATGAATTCCGGGTTTTTGGTGTCACTGCCCTTGTATATTCCAAAGCAAAATATCAATTTACATTATCACAAAATAATAGCTGTATAGAAGTTTTGTTGTTAGCATACTTTAACTCTTCAGGATAAATCAACATCGGTACTTTAGCAAATGTGGCATTCCAGAACTGAGCACTCTGCTTTCGAATTTGTTTATTCTTGTGCAGAAATATTATGCATAATAGTGGGGAGAGTAGTTCAAGAAGTTCACTGTCGTAAGTTCCCGTGTAGCTGAACTGTAGACAAGTAACAATTTCTCCTAATAGCTTTTCTAACTAGGAAAAAGAAAAAACAAAAGCAAAAAATATACTGAGCGTTAACTCATAAACATACTGCTATTTCAATTTTTTAAATTCACAATTTTAAACAAGCCCCCGTTGTCTTAAATATGTATTTCTCTTTATAAGTTGGCAAATTATCAGATAAATTTGCTTTGATTATTGACAGGATAGCCTGATTCTGAGCTTATTTTTCATTAACAGAAAGACATTATGTTGTTACATCAATTATAACAGGAATAGTTGCCTACATATATACACTTTGAGCCAACTGCAAGGATGAGATACAAGGAGATGCATTAACATGAATTTTACATAACATTATTAAATTCTACCTATGAATGTGTCTATATCATGTTATTAAATGTCCTTTAAAACTGAAGTATAATAACCCCTTTAAAAACCAGCAGAATTCTGTATCAGGAAGACAACTGTCTAAACCATACCATGTTTCATCATGAAATTATGTTTTATGGACAACAGTCAATTTTTACCTTGTTGTTCAGACAACTATACACTTTAGGAGCTTCGTCTAGCCTGGGAAGAAAAGCACATAAAACAGAATACCATTTATATTCTAGGAAGTTAATAATAGATTATCAAGCTAAATCTGAAAATGAGGTAATACAATCCTAAGAATGAGATACAAATGGAGTGATATAAAAAGGTGCCCCAAAACTTAAAACAACCCAACTTTTTATTTTTTAGATTAGAAAATATAGTTTATTCACAAGCAAATTAGAGAAAGAGAGGGAGAGAGGGAGAGAGGGAGAGAGAGAAAAGATTCACCTCCCCAAGGGAGGGGAGGGGGACAAAGCTTAGGAAAACATGGCCTGGCCATAGCTCAAAGAGCAGATGACCACACTATAGCTTAGCAAGACAATGGCCAATCCAACCTTTTAAAACTGAATTAGGCTGGGCTCGGTGGCTCAGCCTGTAATCCCGTGCCTTTGGGAGGCTGAGGTGAGTAAATTGCCTGAGCCCGCGGGTTCGAGACCCACCTGGCAACTTGACGAGACTTCATCTCTACAATAAACAAAAAAAAAAAAAAAATGAGCCGGGCGTGGTAGTGCGCGCCTGTAATTCCGGCTACACGGAAGGCTGAGGCAGAAGGATCGCCGGAGCCCAGCAGGTCGAGGCTGCAGTTCACAAACTATTTTGGCCGGGAGCAGCCACTGTACTCCAGTCTGGGTGACCGAGTGAAACTCCAACTCAAAAAAACAAAACAAAACAACAACAACAACAAAACTGAATTAGGCTGGATGTGGTGGCTCACATCTGTAATTACAGCACTCTGAGATGCCTAGGTAAGATCACTTGAGCTCAGGAGCTCAAGATCATCCGGGACAACACGAGACACTGTCTCTACATAAAAATTTTTTAAAAATAAGCTGGTCATGATGATGTGCACCTAAAATACCAGTAATTAGGGAGGCTGAGGCTAGAGGTTTCACTTGAGCCCAGGAGTTTGAGGTTGCACTCAGCTATGACTGCCTCACTGTACTGCAGCATGAAGCAAATAGCAAGCTCATGATTCCTAAAAATTAAATCAAGGCTGGTAGTGGTGACTCATGCCTATAATCCCAGTACTTTGGGAGGCTGGGGTGAGAGGACTGCCTGAGCCCAGGGTTCGAGACCAGTCTGGGCAAACTGACAAGGCCTCATCTCTACAATAAATCAAAATATTAGCCAGGTATGGTGGCACATGCCTATGGTTTCAGCTACTTGGAAGGCTGAGACAGAAGGATCACCTGAGCCCAGCAGGTAGAGGCTGCAGTGGCCATGAGTGTGCCACTACACTCCAGCCTGGGTAACAGAGTAAGAATCCAACTCAAAAAAAAAAAAAATTGAATCACAGAGAATATCTAGCATAGACCTCTCAAAGTAATAAGTATACTAGTTATTTGTATGTGTACATGTCTTTCATTCACAAACTATTTTTGATTAAGGAAGAACTTAAAAATTTGCAAGAAAAATTGCAGACTTTGGGGTTGTGAAAGTTTAATAGAATTATATACAGACATAAATAGAGTGGTATCTGCATGGTACAAAGACAAAGTCATCCCCTGGGATTCAAAGGGGACTCGTTCCAGGACTTGCCCTCAACACCAAAATCCAAATGTTCAAGTCCCCAATATAAAACAGCTTACATAATATTTGCTTATAACCTGTACACATCCTCCTATATAGTTAAAAGCATCTCTAGATTATTTATAGTACCTAATAGAATATAAATGCTGTATAATCAGTTGTTGCTCTGTATTTTTTAATTTGCAGTTTTGTTTTTTTTTTAAACAACGTCACACTCAGTCATCCAGGTTGGAGTTCAGTGACACAATGCTAGCTCACCCTCAAACTCCTGGGCTCCAGTGATCCTTTCACCTCAGTCTCACAAGAAGCTGGAATTACAGGCGTGTGCCGCAATGACTGGCAAATTTTTCTATTTTACATAGAGATGGGGGTCTTTCTTTGCTGCCCAGGCTGGTCTCAAACTCCTGAGCTCAAGCGACTTCCTCCCTGGCCTCCCAAAGTGCTGGGATTACAGGCATGAGTCACCATGACTGGCCAAATTTGTAAATTTTCTTATTTTTCCGAATATTTTCCATCCAGGGTTGATTGAATCCACAGATACAGAACCCACTGATCCAAATGGCTGACTACATTAAGTGCATTCTATCTACTTAGTTGCATGATATTATGTCAAGTAGGCTTTCATATCTGTCACACATTTAATAGGTATGCTTGTTTGCATAAAAAACACTGAAAACACAAGTACGAAAAGGGCAAGTGCAAAAACAGAAAATAGAACTTCCAATTTCTCATTGATATTTATATACTACTTGAACTATCTTTTCAACAAAAGCGTAGTTTAGTATACTACCCTCTCCACGAAATTATCAAAATTACTATCTATAACAATAAAGCTGACAGGGAAGAAAAGTTGCCTCTAAAATTTAAACTGTTTATTTACATTTAATTCTAAGCCCAAAATACTTACTTTGCGTTCTCATAAAATAATGCCAGAGGTCTTGTTAAAGTCACAAATACTTCTCGGATCATAGAAGGCAAAGAGATATGTCCAAGCACTTTGGAAAGAATGCTGGTGATTGAGTTGCCAATAGTGAAGAGAGTATCCGAATATACTTCCTTGAAGCTCAGAGTGTGGAAAGAATAGATCATTCTCACAAGAAGTTTAAATAAGGATGTCAATTTCCCTAAGGGCGCATTCTTCTTTTTAGACCAATCTGAAGGTTTCTGTAGTGCTAATATAAAACAGAACTGAGTAAAATCTCAGGTACATTGAAAATAGTGTCACTGTCCACCTTTACAATTTTTCTCATATTTAAATGTTAGAAACATCATGTACCCGTACTTTTGTTGACTGACACCTCAAATAAATCTTAATATATATACTATTAATGAATAAATATCACTAAAACATTATCTTTAAGAATGAGACTGCAACGCCAGGTGTGGTGACTTATGCCTATTATCCCAGCACTTTGGGAGGCTGAGGTAGGAGGACTGCTTGAGCCCAGGAGTTCAAGACCAGCCTGAGCAATAAAAAAAGACCCCCATATCTCTACCAAAAAGAAAAAGAAAAAGAAAAATTAGCTGGGTAGTGCATGTCTGTAGTCCCAGCTACTCAGAAGGCTAAGGCAGGAGGATTACTTGAGCCCAGGAGAGAGAGAGACACACACAGGCACAGAGACAGAGACAAGAGACAAGAGACAAGGAGATGGGGATTGAGAGATCTAGAATAAAAAAATCCAGCTGGGCTCGGTGGCTCAGCCTGTAATCCCGCGCCTTGGGAGGCCGAGGTGAGTGAATTGCCTGAGCCCACGGGTTCGAGACCCGCCTGGGCAACTTGGTGAGACCTCATCTTTACACTACATCAAAAATTAGCTGGGCATGGTGGTGCACGCCTGGAGTTCCGGCTACTTGGAAGGCTGAGGTGGAAGGATTGCCAGAGCCCAGCAGGTCGAGACTGCAGTGGCTGGAAGTGGCCACTGCACTCCAGTCTGGGTGACAGAGTGAAAATTCAACTCAAAAAAAAAAATCCAGAAAAACGAGTGTTTTTACTAAGGAGTTACAAAATACATTTCAAATTTTTTCTTACATTTCTTGGAATTTCAACAATTAATTTGTAGCAAAGTACTAACTTACACAAAACAGGCACAAAATTAATTTTAACAGTTAGCCTTGAAATTTAAAAATTTCCCTTAGAAATGACCTGGTTCATTTACAGTACACTAATACCTACAAATAACATTAAACAAGTCAGAGATCCAAATTCTGAGAAAAAATGCAGAATAAGTCTACTGCCTATTTTGTAGATTTTAAGTCTTAAAAGTATTGTCTTTCAGTCAGGCATGGTGGCTCACGCCTATAATCCCAGCACTTTGGGAGGCCGAGGTGAGAAGACTGCCTGAACCTACAAGTTCAAGACCAGCCCAGGGAACTTGGTGAGACCTCATCTCTAAAACAAATCAAAAAATTAGGTGGGCATATGGTGGGTATGCCTGTGGTTCTAGCTATTTGGAAGGCTGAGGCGGAAGGATCACCTGAGCTCAGCAGGTTGAGAGTGCGGTGGCCATTAGCGGGCCACTGCACTCCAGCCTGGGTTACAGAGTGAGACTCCAACTCAAAAAAAAAGTATTGTCTTTCCTTTGTACCCTCTCTGATAATAATAAACTCATATTTCTCTCTCCGATAATAAACTCATATTGCTCCCCCTAAATCATACCCATTCCAAAATTACCTTTGTTTCTCTCAAACCCTTCTTTTAAGAAAAGAAATCTCAGACTTAATAGAAAACATTAATATAGTGCTTGTTAATTAGAAAATTTATCTTTTGGTAAAATGAGTGTTGCTACTAAAAGAAATTCAATCAAGTTTTTCCCCTAGAATCAGTGTCTCAGATATGAATGTGCCTTGTAAAATGATTCCCAAGATTCTTGGACAGAATGCTGAGGCTAAAGTGACAGCCTATGTGTCAGAAAACTGGCTATAAATAAGTGACAGAGGGCAATGGTAACAAGGTTTTTCATTGTTAGAGATGTAGGTACAAATACAAAAGTGGGAATGACCATGTGATATTAAATGGTAACTAGAAGTGTACACCTAGAAAAACTAGTAATAGCTACATGAACATACACACCCCTATTTCCCAGCTTTTTCCATTCAGAGGAAAATTATTTCGCATCACCAGTAATGGGAAATAATTCATTGTTATTAGGGGCCCAGAAACAATGGCACCTTAGTAGCAGCAAAAAGTTATCCGTTTCTAAATGCCATTCTCAGCTAAAAGGAACCATACATATTCCTTAAGAAAATGGCTGATTCCTGGCTGGAGGGAAAGTGTAACATGAAGATGAATACCTCCAAGTCAGTGTCATCAAAGAATAATGCAGATGTGAAAAAGTCTAAGAGCTGATTTGAAAGGGATTCGAGTGCCTAAATCTGAGACACACCTGGCATTAAAATAAACAATAGTTAGCAAATTATAACACACTGAATAAAATAAAAATTCAGAAGTTCACATTGGCAAAAATAAATAGAAGACATGGGAAGCTATACCACACATTACAAAGTTACCTACACCCAGAAAAAACTAGTGCCTAGTAATGCTCAACAAATAACTGTAGAATGATTATGAGAACAGAATGAGACAACTAATTAAAACTAGGGACTGCTTTTAGAATTAATATAGCTAATAATAAAGCATTCGGATATAAACTAAATAAAAGAAAACAATGGAACCTATCACATCAGGAATTACCATAGTGTTTTAGGAAAGAAACATCAATGAATGACAAACTCATGGGTGAAAGTTTGCTGAGGAAGAGGATATTTACATAATTTCAAAGTATCTGATACAAAACACTAATTCATTAATTGTTAAGTGGAAAACCTGGCAGATCTCATCTTTATTTTTAAAATTCATTTATTTATTTTAAAGATATGGGATACAATTCAGGATTACGTATATAAGTAGTCACTGTACAGGTACAGTGTGGGCCTTCCTTTGGTCCCCACAGATTCCATCCATAACCAAACAGTAAATGTTAACACCATTAGGAATGGGAAATAATTAATTGAAAAAGAACTACAGCATTACTTCTGTGATACTCCTGTAAAAAAAAATTAATGGAACCTGAACCTAACCTTGAGGAACTATGATAATCCCAGATTGAGGGATTCTAAAAAAGTTGCAATGCCTGCATGCTCCGTATGTGAAGAACACAAAAGACAAAACTGACGAACTATTCCATGCTGTTGACTTATCTTAAGACATACTCTCTCAAAGGTTGGGGGGGGAGGTTGGGGGTGGGGTGGGAAGAATAAAATGTATAGGAGGGCAAAGAAAACAAATGCAGTCAAGTATTAAGGGAGGAATACGAGCAAAAGATATGAGGTTTCTGTGCATAATTCTCCAATGTTTCTCTAAATTTGGTATTATTGAAATATAAGTCACCAAAAAAAAAAAAAAAAACCAACATCCAAAGGTGATCCTGAGGCACAACCCTTAAAATAATTTCCTTTCAGCTAATCATAATTTTGTTTCCTCTCCACTTCTGCTAACAGACTTTTTCCCCACGCCATAAACTTAAACAACATGAGGACCCCTCGTTCTATTCTAGACAGATATGAAATGAAAAAAAGATGTATTTCTAACTGTGGGTTCATAAATCATGGACTACATATTCACTTAAAACCAATTTTTCAGAAGCACTAACAGAGGTAAAATTATGCTAATATAGGCATCTTGGTCCTAAGAAACTTCAGTGGCTTATAAAATAACTTATGATGTCATTTTTATACAACTTTTTTATAGTTACGGTATTCAAAGATAATTGTTCTGACACAGTGAGACCAAGAGGAGAGCTGAGATCAGTATATTAAGAACATCTATAATCTATTTCTGTGGCATTCGGCTGGGATGCTCTGACATATACTTCAGGAACTTAAAATGATACTCTGTACTACTATTTAGTACAATGAGAAAACAGTCTAAAAATATTCTACATATATTTTAGAAATCTTCACACAAACTTATCAATAACACTCTTATTAGTGGAAAATTGCATATATGTTCCTAATTTTTAAACATGAAAAAATTATACAACTCAACTTTTTTCATCAATGGCAGGTTATCATTTCCTATATGGTATAAATATATAAGCACAAGTAAATATAGTTTTCTTCTATGAGTCAATTTGTAGATTAAAATAGCTCAGTATTTACTACAAAATAATTTAAAATTAATTGACGCATGTAGTTTTAAAAATCAGACAAATTGTTACAACTCCCACTGTGCAATATTACTAAAATAGTAAAACCCTAGTCAAATTTTTAAAGTTTAAATTTCCTATAAAATAATTAATAGATTCTATTGTTTTATTTCAAATTTTAATGTCAATTCAATTATTACTTCAAATTATGCTTCCAAACACATTTAAAATTATATCTATGTTTTTGTCCACATAATCCCTCGTACCAGATGGAATAAGCAAAATCATTGTATTATTAGGCAATCTCTAATTAGAAAATTATTTCTTTCAGCGTTATTTTAAAAAACGTGAAGACATTGTGTATGTGTGTGAAAGAGAAAGAGAGAAAATGAGAATGAACATGCAAGCTCCTAGCATGATAATCAACAGGTTTAACAAGATCAAAAGTTCATAACATGAGGTAGAAAAGGTCATTAGGATTTTCGCAGAGAATAGTTTTAGAAGTATTTATGAAGTATTGAATAAACAAATAAAGGTTAAAATATACTTACATTTAACTTTTGGCTGATATTTAATATTATATGGTGAGAAGTCGATGCAATCAACCATCACAGTTATAATATGAAAGATCCTATCCAAGAACAACAAATCCTAAGGAAAAATAGTATTATAATTAGAAATATTTAACTACTGGCATAGTACTGAATAGTAAGCAACAAGAAAAATGAGAAAAAAAATATAAGACTTTACTCTCACGTATACCATGTAGCACACATGCATTAGCTCATACCATATTAAGGTACATAAGTGTAGTCGCCCATGACTTAAAGGAATACGTTCTGATAAATGAGTTATATGGCAATTTTGACATTTTGGGAACTTCATACGGTGTACTCACACAAACCTAGATGATATAGCCTACTACACACCCAGGCTCTATGGTGTAGCCTACTGTTCCTCAGCTACAAATTTGTACAGAATGTTACTGTATTGAATACTGTAGGCAATGGCAGCACAACAAAATGTATTTGTGTAACTAAACATAGAAAAGGTACAGTAATACCACATTATAATTTTATGGTACCACTGTTAGATACATGGTCCACTAATGAAAACATTGTTGCACAGGGCATGACTGAATATGGTTTAAATATTTTCCAGTTACCTGTTGTGAGCCAAATACTGTACTTTCTCTTCCTCAACACTAAGGAAAAATAATTCAACTATGGGATGCCCATAACACTCATTAATTACATCAACCAGGTAGTTGAGAATAAAAGTGCACATAAATTCTCAAATTTCTCTTCATAATTATAAAAGTAAAAGGCCAGGCACAGTGGCTCATGCCTGTAATCCTCCTTTGGGAAACCAAGGCAGGAAGAATGCTTGAGGCCAGGAGTTTGAGACCAGCCTGGGACAACACAGTGAGACTCTGTCTCTACAAAAAACTTACTAAGGAAAAAAAAAATTATCCAGGAATGGTGGCGAGCACCTGTAGCCTCAGCTAACTCAAGAGGCTGAGGTGCACTGATGACCTGAACCCATGTGTTTGAGACTGTGCTGGCCTGTAATGGTGCTACTGTACTCCTGCTGGGTGACAGTGAGACCCTGACTCAAAAAAAAGAAGCCGGGATGGTGGCTCATGTCTAGAATCCCAGCACTTTGGGAGGCAGAGGCAAGAGGATTGCCTGGGTCTAGGGAATCATGACAAGCCTTGACAACTTGGTGAGACCTCATCTCTACAATAAATAAAAAAACTTAGCCAAGCGTGGCAGTGCATGCCTGTGGTTCCAGCTACTTGGAAGGCTGAGACGGAAGGATCACCTGAGCCCAGTAGTCTGGGCAACAGAGTGAAACTCCTACTCAAAAAGAAAAAAAAAAGAAAGATACAACAACAACAACAAAGAAATGGAAGCAAACTAAATGTTCACTGACAGACAAATGAACAAAGAAAATGCAGTACACACAAATAGCAGAAGAACATCCTGCCGCTTGCAACAACACAGATGAATCTGGAGGATATTATCCTCAGTGAAATAAAGCCAGACACAGAAGAAGAAAGCTATACGATGCGCCATATATGAAGAATTAAAATAGTCGAACTTATAGAAAAAGAGAGTAGAATAAAGGTTGCCAAGGGCTGGGGAAAGGAAACATATGGAGTTGCATCAGACAAAGGGTGCAAAGTTTCAGTTACGCAAGAAATGTTAAGTTGTAAAGATTTATTATACTGCATAATGTCTATAAATAACACTGTGTATTTTAAATTTTGCTAAGATAGGTACATGTTCTTATCACAGAAAATAGTAATAATAAAGAGGGTGTGGGGAAATTTTAAAGGTACTAAATGTTTATACCACAGGTTGTGGTGATAGTTGTATACATTATATATACACAGCTTTTTGTATGTCAATCATATCTCAAAGTAGCTTTTACAAATTCTGTAACAAATATTTTCTAGAACCTAAATTACGTAACTAACCAAATGATTATTAAAGAAGCATGGGACTGAGAGACAGTCATGTATATACAAGTATGCTAGGGTAGGCATTGTGGCTCAATGCCTACCACTTTGGGAGGATGAGATAGGAGAATTGCTTGAGCCCAGGAGTTCAAGACCAGCCTGGGCAACATAGCAATACCTTGGTTCTACAAAAAAATAAATTAGCTGGGCATGGTGGCACATGCCTGTAGTCATAGCTACTCAGGAAGCTGATGCAGAAAGATCACCTGAGCCCAGGAGGGGGAAGCCTCAGTGAGCCGTGGTCATGCCACTGTACTCCAACCTGGGCGACAAAATGAGACTCGTGATTCCAAAAACACATAGCTGCGTAACAAAGCTGATGGATACTAATGTGACATGTAACACTGAAATATATCTATATATCTATATATAGTTCTTACTGGAATCATCTGTTTTTGAAAAAAATATTCCCCAGGTTTATGATAATTGTATAATAATGTAGGGACTGTAATTAAGATTCTGATTTTTCAACAAAACTGAGAAGGTAACAAGGCAGGTAAAATTCTGTGTAGTAAAATCACAACAAAGTCATCATTTGCTGGAGTAGAATGCTACAGATAGCATCTTCAAATTTCACAAAAAAAATATGACTTAAGAAATAGGCCACTGCATTACTAAATACAGGTCTGGCTACGTGGCTCTTTGAGCTATGGTTGCCATGTTTTCCTAGCTTTGGCCCCTCCCCTACTTTGACCTTGGGGGAGGTGAATTTCTTCTCTTTCTAATTTCTAAATAAACTATATTTTCCAATCTTAAAAAAAGGACACATAATATCAAAAGCACTACAAAACTCACGATAAACTTGATTGCACTATAAAATTTGGTTACAAAGAAAAAATATAAAAAGATAAAACGTTAAAGGGCTGGACGCACTGGCTCACACCTGTAAACTCAGCACTTTGGGAGGTGGAGGCTAAAGGATTGCTTGAGCTCAGGGGTTCCAGACCACCCTGGGCAACTCAGTGAAACCTGTCTCCACAATAAGTCAAAAAATTAGCTAGGCATGGTGGTGCACACCTGTAGTTCTAGCTACTTGGAAGGCCGAGGCAGAAGGATAACTTGACCCAGTAGACTGAGGTTGTGATGACCGTGAGCATGCCACTGCACTCCAGCCTGGGCAACAGTGAGACTCTGACTCAAATAAACAAACAAATAAGCAAGCATCTTCCATTTCTACCTACATAAGAAATAATTCAAAATACTTATTAAAACAGACTCATACTTACTTCTATGTTACATAAGACTCAGAAAACTTTGAGTAAATTGGTAAGTACATACAAAGAATCCATACAATGTATTAACGTACAATAATGAATACATGGAACACAACATTAATCAATTTTTCCAGCCACAACAACGAAGGCAAAGGACATACAATTTTATATGGTTTTATTCATATAAAACTGTTTAAAGCCAGCAAAGCTAAACTAATCTATGCTGTGTGTATCTGAAAAAACATAAAGAAAAACCCAGCAAAGTTGATCAAAAATAAGGAAAGTAACTTTGGAGAGAGGACAGTACTGCGACTCAAAGCATACAGGAAAAAGCCTCTGAAGTGCTAATAATGTTTTGTTGACTGTGGTGGTGGCTACACAAGTGTTTCATTATAGTAATTTGTAAACCACACTGTTTTATGCAATTTTTAAAATGTTAGTAAGGTGTTTTAAAAAAACAAATCACAAAAATTTTCAAAAAAAACATTAATCAAGTCTGTAGAAATTAAGAAAAAGGCTGTAAAAAGGAAAAAATTACTATAAAGACATAAGTTAATCTCTAATGTATGATAATACAGCAACAAAATATTTAATGACTGTTAATATAAAGCAAATTTGCAATCAGCGAGACACTTTACTGTAACTCTTAGATATCAAATATAAAACCATAAGTCACAATCTTCTCTGATCACAATACAACAAAATAAAAAACTGATATAATACTCACAAACATCCATAAGCTATTACCTTAAATTAAAAAGCACTCTTCCAAGTTACCTGGTGCTATAAAAAAGATATACCAAAATAGTCTATATGATCACTGATAGTAGTAATAAAATAGTCTTAGATGAAAATTATTTGAAAACAAATTAAAAAGTTAAGCTTTAAGGCAGGTTGTGGTTCACAACTGTAATTCCAGCACTATGGGAGGTTGAGGTAGGAGGATTGTCTGAGGCCTGGAAAACACAGAGGCCTGCCTTTACAAAAAAAATTTTTTAAAAGCCAAGTGTGGTAGTACATGCCTATAGTCCAGCTACTTGAGAGACTGGGGCAGAAGGATTACCTGAGCCCAGGAGGTCGAGGCTGCTGTGAGCTGTGATGGTGCCAGGGCACTCCAGTCTGGGCAGAGAAAAAACTCTGAACTCCAAAAAGAAAAAAAAAGGCTAAACTTAAAAACATTCAATATATTTAAGTAATGATAGATGGGCACAGTGGCTCATGCCTATAATCTCAGCACTTTGGGAGGCCAAGGTGAGACAACTGCCTGAGCCCACAAGTTTGACACCAGTCTGGGCAACCTGGCAAGACCTCACACCTCTACAATAACTCAAAAAATCACCCAGGTGTGGTAACACGTGCCCGTGGTTCCAGCTACTTGGAAGGCTGAGGTGAAAGGATCACCTGAGCCCAGCAGGTCAAGGCTGTGGTGGCCATGAACATGCCACTGCACTCCAGCCTGAATGACACAGTGAGACTCCAACTCAAAAAACAAAAAAAGTAATGATAAAAGTAAAAAGCTGTGGTGATGATCAATAAAACTAAGTATCGTTTTTTTTTTGAGGGGGGGTACTTAAATAGAAAAGCCTTCCGTTAACTAATCCAACCAAGAAAACCGGAGTAAGACTTAAGAACAAATAGGATGAAGGTGATGGTGCCCTAGGAACAGAGACTTGCACTAGTAGTAGCATCCACTTGGAAAGCTGAGGCTGCAGAATCACTTGATCCCAGAAGTCCAAGGATGTAGTACACTATAACAATACCTGTGAATAACACTGCACTCCAGCCTGGGCAACATAAGACCCTACCCTCTTTAAAAACAAAAAATAAAAATAAAAAAGGACAATTAACTAAGATATGACACTCTTCTTAAATTATTTAAATTGGTAGAGAACTCAACAGTTTTCTACATCATACTAAGAAGTTAGTATTGCCATAATACAAAAACTGCACAATTAGAATCTTATTAAGAGAAATATACAGAAAGTTTAAGAAATTAATACTGTGATAGTTTAAAAGTACTATAACTAACAAGTATATCAACTGCCCAAACACAAGACTGGTTCAGTATAAGAAAACATGTTAACAACAGCATTTCTATACTTCAGTAACAAAGGTGGAAGGAGAGATTCATTTACAATAGGCTTGATGTAAGTTTTTTTTGAGTGATGAATCTCTAATGATAATATAGCACCCAAGTATTTAATAAACATGCTACTATACATCCAATTCACAATCAGCAAGACAATTTATCGTAACTGTCTTATATAATAAATATTATAAAACTACAGTGTCAAAGAATTGGGGATAAATTTCAAAATTGAAAGCCATACTCTCTAATCACAATATAACAAGTCATGGTCTTAGTCTGCTACCCAGACTGAACTGGAGTGGCACAATCATGGCTCACCGCAGACTCAAACTCCTGGGCTCAAGCAATCCTCCTTCCTCAGTTTTCCGAGTAGCTGAACTACAGGCATACATCAACATGCCTTCCTGATTTTTTGTAAAGAAGAGGTCTCACCATGTTGACCAGGCTGGTCTCAAACAATCCTCCCACCTCAGCCTTCCCAAGTGCTGAAAGTACAGATATTAGGCCAGGCATGGTTTCTCATGCCTGTAATCCCAGCACTTTGAGAGGCGAAGGCAAGAGGATTGCCTGAGCCCAGTGGTTTAAAATCAGCCCAGGCAACTTGGTGAGAACCCGTCTCCACAATAAAGCAAAAAAATTAGCCAGACGTGGTGGTGTGTACCTATAGTTCCACCTACTTGGAAGACTGCAGCAGAAGGATCGCCTATGTCCAGTTGTGGTGGCCGTTGAGTGTGCCACTGTGCTCCAGCCTAGGTGAAAGAGTGAGACTCTGACTCAAAAAAAAAAAAAAGAAAAAGAAAAAAAATTGCAGGCATGAACCACTGCACACAGCTATAGGCTATCTTTACAATATATAAGCACAAATCTCTTTTTCTGATTCAGAGTTTCACACTGTCACCAAGGATGGAGTGCAGTGGCACGCTCATGGCCACTGCAGCCTCGACATGCTAGGCTCAGGCAATCCTTCTGCCTTAGCCTTCCAAGTAGCTGGAATTACGGGCATGCACCACCACACCCAGCTAATTTTTTAATTGTAGAGACATGGTCTCCCTATGTGTCCCAGGTTGGTCTCAAAGCCCCTTAGCTCAGTCAATCCTCCCACCTGTGCCTCCCAAAGTGCTGGTATTACAGGTGTGAACCACAGTGCCTAGCCAGCACAATTCTCTGGAAGAACAGTTTCAGTAATAGGAAGATATAAATTCTTTTCCAAATTAATCTGTGACTTCAACATTATCAAAGCCAAATAAAATTATGACGGGGTGATTTTGTAAAATCCAAATGACTCCAAATTTATTCCGGAAAAGAAGAAAATAGAAGCCTAACCAAGTTTATTTTTAAAAGGTGAAAACTGGCTGGGTATGGTGACTCACCCCTGTAATCCCAGCACTTTGGGAGGCTAAGGCCAAAGGACTGCCTAAACCATGGGATTAAAGACCAGCCAGGACAACTTGGTGAGACCTCGTCTTTACAATAAATCAAAAAAATTAACTGAGTGTGTTGATGAATGCCTATAGATCCAGCTACTTGGAAGGCTGAAGTGAGAGGATCACTTGAGCCAACAGGTCAAGGCTGTGGTGGCCATGAGCATGCCACTGCACTCCAAGCTTTGGGTGACCAGAGTGAGATTATCACTCCAAAAAGAAAAAGAAAACTAAGGGTCAATCTTCTCCCTAGGAGTTATAAAAACATTCACACAATTTTTTCAGGTGTGTGCGCTAGATGCCAGAGATAATCACCATCAAGACCATGTTCTTAATCTAATGTATAGGTGAACTAACATAATTAAATACAGAAATAAACAATTCTGAGACAAGTATTAAAAAGGAAACAACGTGCTATAACAGAAATCAATAAGCCTAATTAGATGAGACCCTCAGGGAAGGAAGCAGAAGCCTCAGAGACAGCTGTAATGAGGTTTTTATGCCAAACGTAACAAAAAGCGACTGAAGTGTTTCTTGAAGGGTGACAAGACCTGATTTACATTTCTTTTTTTGAGCAGGAGTTTCACTGTTACCCAGGCTGGAGTGGCCGTGATGCTCATGGCCACCCCAGCCTCTACCTGCTGGGCTCAGGAGATCCTTCCGTCTCAGCCTTCCAAGTACCCGGAACCACAGGCGTATGATACCACACCTGGCTTGTTTACTTATTTATTGTAGAGACACAGTCTTGTCAAGTTGCCCAAGCTGGTCTCGAACCCCTGGGCTCAGGCAAGCCTCTCACCTCCACCTCCCAAACTGCTGGGATTACAAGCTTGAGCCACTGCACTCAATTGATTTACATTTTAAAAGTCACTTTGAAAATACTATTTATTATATCAAAATGTAGAAGAGAGGTATATAACTGCATTAAAAAACCAAAAAAGATGACTAACTACTGGTAGCCGTTCTATTGGTGAGAAAAGACACGTGATGGGGAACTTAACACATTTTCCTTTGTTGTTTGAAATATTTTATAGTAAGAATCTAAAATATTTTAACTTTTATTCCTTGTTAAAATGTGTCAGATATTAAGATGTAGAGGAAACAAGCAACAGCAAATCTCATTTCAATAATCTGCATAAATAAACAATGGTTTTTATGTGAAGATGTGAAGACAACTACTGGATGATACACAGTAGTAAAATAATTGAAAACGATCAAAATGTTCTCAAAATTAGAATTCTAAATAATGGTACAGCCATACTACAAAACACTACATAGCAGCTGAAAAAGACCTATATAGAGTGACTTCCAAGGGAGTCAAGAATATTTTATGAAACACTGCACAACTTATTTCAGAACCAATACAATAGTTTCACTGGCAAGAACCCTGTGTTTATATACATATGCAAGTATCAACATGTAAGCTACATGTGTAAATACAAAGAAAGAGTTCTATTCTAGAATGATACACACAAAACTGCTGACAGTAGTTGTCCTTTTTATTAGGAAGGGAGGAAATAGTAGAAAAAGGTTATATTTTTAGAACTACAGACATCAGGCTGGGCTCGGTGGCTCAACCTGCCCGGACAACTTGGCGAGACCTTGTCTCTACAATAAATCAAAAATTAGCCGGGCTAGTAGCACGTGCCTATAGTTCCGGTTACTTGGAAGGCTGAGGCAGAAGGACTGCCTGAGCTCTGCAGGTCGATGGACTCCAATTAAAAAAAAAAGAACTACAGACATAAAAAGGGATTAAATTTAAAAATCTAAGACACAGATAAGAAACTGAGGTTCAGGACAGTTAAGGGCCTTGTACTGTTAATCTAGAATGGCACAAGCACTACAAGGTATACAGTAGAATAGTAAAAGACCTTCACTGTTAACGATCCTAAAACATGCACCTTAGAGATCAAAGACAAAAGTGTTTCACAAAGCTGTACTTATTTTCTGTACTGACTCAGTCACTTATAAACACAAGAGGGGACCCAAAAAACACCCTAGAATTCATAAAAACCTATGTATGTATTCTTACTTGTTTAAACCTCAGTCACCGTGAAAGTACTCTCCATTTGACGCAATACACCTATTGAGATGCTTCTTCTACAGCTACAAACAGGTTTGTTTTTTTTGAGTTGGAGACTTACTCTGTCTCCCAGGCTGGAGTGCAGTGGCACACTCGCAGCCACCCCAGCGTCGACCTGCTGGGCTCCGGTGATCCTTCTGCCTCAGCCTTCCAAGTAGCCAGAACTACAGGTGTGCGTTACCACGCCCAGCTAAGTTTTTTATTTATTGTAGAAACAAGGTCTCGCCAAGTTGCCCAGGCTGGTCTCGAACCCGCGTGCTCAGGTAATCCACTCGCCTCTGTCTCCCAAAGTGCTGGGATTACAGGCTAAGCCACCGTGTCCGGCCAAAACAGTTTTTTAACTTGTAGATTTTGATGCCTTTCAGTGCTTCTGCCATTGTATGGGTCACCTCTTCCACATTGGCAAAATATTTCCCTTTGAGGGTTTTTTCATCCAGGGAAACAAATAAACAAAAGAGTCACTGGGGTGAGATCAGGTGAATAAAGAGAATGTGGTATGGGGGTCATGCCATTTTTGGTAAAAAATGCTAAATACTCAGTGTGATGTGGGCAGGTACAGTCATGGAAGAAGAACCAGTCACCTGTTTGCCACAACTTGGAGGGATGTTTCTTTTGCAAATCGTGACACAACCTTCTCAAAACTTCCAGATAAAAACTTTGGTTGACCGTTTGACCCAGAGGAACAAATTCTGAGTGTACCACAAATGGCCCGCCCTCCAAAAGATAATTCTGGATTTTCTGGGTCTCCCTCTTAGAACTGTAAGCACTACTAAGGGATAGTTCACAAATATGATCTCCATTTATCAGAAAAGAATCCTTTAAATACAAAAAAAGGCAGTATCAGGACAAACTCACAGAAAGGCCTTCATTTTCCAAACTGGACATTATTTTGGAAGAAAGTTCCTCACAGCACAAATTCTCTTCTGCTGTTGCCACCAAAGCAGCACAGCGTGCAAATGCTCTATATAACTCTGACCATGTTCTAAGCAAGGTCTTCATCGTGACCTAACAATAACAATACAAAATAAATTATATATATGTATATTTACGTATCAATAGGTGAAAAAATTAATATCTTTAACATTTTTTTAAAAACTGAAACATTTAATGTATCACAAAAGAGACTAACACAGGAGAATAACCTTTACCCCACATTCCCCAGAGTTTTCATGGAAAAGATAAAATGATACTACAATAACTACACTTGTCAAGGTCCAAGGTCTCTTTTCTCCTAAACTAATAAAATCATAAGGAAGTCTTCTTTTAGAAAAAAGTCCTACAGAAGCTAATTGAAAAAGGTGAAAAGATAATATTCTTGGAAAAGCTTAAATTCCTCACACATAAAAATGTGACAATGTCTTACCACTGGAAATCTTTGTACAGAAAAAATATGGTTTATTGGTAACATCAGTGCACCATAGATGGCACTAAAATTATGTTCTAAGGCATCACCTTGATTTACTTCATTGGTCTGAAATTAGAAAAGATAATAAAGAAGTTAGACAAATTACCATGGAGGGGGCAGGAATGGCAGTAGTGGAAAACTGCAAGGGGAGGTAGGGGGGTCACACCTCATCAACAAGGGTACCTGAATAATGAACATCTGTATACCTAACCCTGAATTGTACCCCACATCTTTAATATTAAAAAACGGTTTTTAAATTGCCATCAAATTCTAGTCCTATATAGTAACTTATCAAGTGAGTAGAATTGTATCCTCCAATGATGAGATACTGAAAAGTCCTGAAATCTATGAGAGTGACCTTATTTGGAAATAAAGTATTTGCAGATGTAATCAAGTAAAAAAAAATCAAGCTACAATTCCATTATAATGGATCAGGATGAGCCCAAATCCAATGAATGATGTCTTCTGTAAGCAGTAAATTTGGACAGACACAGAGAAGACAGGAAAGGATATCAACTGAAGATGTAGTCAGAGATTCGAGTGATACAGCTACAAGCCAGGGAAGGTCAAGGATTGCCAGCAAACACCAGAAGCCGAGAGGCATGAACATCTAGATTGCTCCTCAGAGCTCCAGCAACCAATCCTACCAACTCCTTGATTTTGGATATTTGATCTCCAGAACTGTGAGAGAATAAATTTCTGTTGTGTTCGTGGTAATTTGTTAACAGCATTATATACTATGTTTAAGTCCTAAAAAAGAATCTCAGAAGCGATTCCAAAATCTACTACTATACATACTCAGAATTTAAGCAAAGACTTACAAAAAGGGCCTTTGCTATCCTTCCAATAGTGAGAAGCTATTTAAGAATGCAAACTATTTTTTTCTAGAAGAGTATGTTTAGTAGTATGCTAGCTTTAGTAGCCAAAACAAGAGCTACTTCAATATAATGTAAAACATTTCCTCAAGTCTTCACTTCATTTTTGTTTCTTAAAGACACAGTCTCTTTTTTGCCCAGGTTGAAGTACAGTGACATGCAGTACAGTACAGTATAGCTCACTGCAGGATGAGCTCCTGGGCTCAGGCGATCCTCCTGCTTCAACCTCCAGGCTGGGGCTACAGGCACAAGCCACTGCACCCAGATTTCATTTTATGTTTTTAGTTACAGTGGAATCGGCCCGGAGAATACATATTTCCATTTAAAGATTGATAAAGCAGCTGATAAATCATGAATAGTGACAGAAATTGTGCTATCTGCCCTGACAATATTGCTACTTTTGTTAAATGTACTCAATTCTCAACAAACTTCTGATTTGGGATGTAATACCAGCTTTGAGGCAATCACCAATGTGGTTTGACCATAGGAATACACAGCCTAGTCAAGAAGACCACTGTTATTCCCTATTAGTATGATTACTGAAAGAACCCATTTTTGTAAATATAGAAAATTTGTATGTATCATATGTGAGCCTTCTAGTCTTATAACTACTATGGAAGAAAATGAAGCAGATTAGTCCCCATGACATTATACTTTCTTGATCAGTGAGGCAGAAATACAATGAAATCAATCCAAGAGTACAAAATTTACAAATTCCATTGGAAAAAATATTTAATGTCCTCTATTTAAATTCAAGCCTCTACTCATTCCCATATGTGCTCTAACAAGGAAAAAAGGGGGATATGTAGATTTATAGCATACCTGATTAATCAATTCAGTTAGTGGGGTAACAATAATACTCCACATTCTCCAGAGATGCTCCTTGCTTTCCAACTGCTTTGTATTTTGATTAATAACATTTAAAACAGAGTCACTGAAAGCTAGTGGTGAAGTTGGACCAGAAAGAACACAGCCTACAAGTGTTTCCAGATTGAGAAAAAACCTGAGGAAAGAATTATGAACAATGCATTAATCTTTACTTTTTTTGCACATTAATTGAACTTTAGCCAAATTCCAAAATATCTGACAAGAAAACCAAAAGATGATAATTTCTAAGTCTTATTTTAAGAAAGTTTTTGATGTAAAAATGGTATATAAATCAAAAGAAATTTCATTCACTATATAATCTTTCCAAAATAAATAAAGTTTCTGGCTATATATTTGTATCAGGGTTTCACTCTGTTGCCCAGACTAGAGGGCAGTGGCATGGTCATGGCTCACCAAAGTCTTGAACTCCTGGGTTTAAGGGATCCTCCCACCTCAGCTTCCAGAGTAGCTGGGACTACAGGCATAAGCCACTTTGCCTAGTTAACTTTTTATGTTTACTTTTTTTGAGACTCCTAATGCCCGATGCAAATATTAAAAGGACTGCTGGCCAGGTGCCCAGACTGGTCTAACTTCTGGGCTCAAGTAATCTCCTTGTCTTGTCTCCCAAAGTGCTGGGATTACAGGTATAAACCACTTAGCCAGTTATTTAAAATACAAATTTACCTTTCATCTGTTACACCAAATTCCAAGAGATTATTGAAAATTAACTGAATTAAGAACAAAGCTGGAGTTCCCTAAAGGAGAGAAAGAAGTCAGTCATCTCAGTCACAAAGATCAGTAATATATTTTCTGTAATCAATAATGTAAGAAATATAATTGTTTTAGCATGAGAAATTGAACCTTTGGCGTTACTTAGGATATAACAATGACAGTAGCAGCTCTTTATATTCTGATAATATGTTTCCTCTACACAAGAAACTAAAGAATGGTGAGACTCCAGATATAAAAATATTAACTTAAAAACTGCTGAACCCACAATACCTACATCCTACAGAAATACAGTTTTATATTATTAAGCTAATGTTCTTAAGCTTCCAAAATGCACCAGCAATATTATTATACATAAACAGAACTGACTTTCCTTCTGGAGCCTTTTACTTAATCCATAAAAATATTTTCATCATTCACATAGCATAATTTTTTACATTAAATTATTACTTTATCCGTTTCCATTAATCTGACCAATATATTTCAAATTCAATACTCTCAGAATTTTTCAAAAAGTATCACTATCTTTTTTTTTTTCTTACAAAGGGAAATATAAAAATTTGGCCAATCTTTAGCATATCATTACATTTAAGATACTTGCATTAAGAATATCCATATTAGCAACCTGATATGCTGGTGAACCTAACACTTTCTGAGGAAGTCCTTCTACTGTAATTTCCATGACGACCTAAGAAAGACAAAAGGTTTTACATTTATTGTAAATTAGCCATAAAGATATGACTTCGCTTAATCAGTCTACTAGTATTAACTATATATTTAACAATTTATTACAAGTAATCTGCACTCATTAAACACATTCTCATAAACTCAAATAGATCAAATGCATCCATTCATTAATATGAATTCATTTAGATTAGTTTTAACAACTAAAACAAAAATATATTTTAAAAAATGACAAAGTCCTTATCTCCAAGGATAATCAATGCTATCAATTTGCAGCATATTATCTTAGATTAATTTCCATATATGTAAGTATACAAAGAAACACATAACTTTCTGAGCAGCCTGTCATATATGCATTCTTTTCACTTTATTTTTTTTTTTGAGTCAGTCTCCTCTGTTGCCCAGGCTGGAGTGCAGTGGCATGCTCATGGCCACACAGCCTTGACTTGTTGGGATCTAGTGATCATTCTGCTTCAGTCTTCCAAGTGGCTAGAACTACAGGCATGTGGCACCAAAACCAGCTACTTTTTTTTAGATTTACTGTAGAGACAAAGTCTCGACCTGTTTCCTACACTGGTCTTGAACCCGAGGGCTCAGGCAATCCTCTTGCCTCCACCTCCCAAAGTTCTGAATTACAGGCGTGAGCCACCGTGCCCAGCCTCATTCTTTTCACTATTAATGCTATTATACTATAAATCATTAATAATATCAAACTTTAACATCTAACCTTCATTATACTTTTTTTTTTAGTTGAAGTCTTACCCTGTTGCTCAGGCTGGAGTGCAGTGGCACACTCATAGCCACTGCAGCCTTGACCTGCTGAGCTCAGGCAATCCTTCAGCCTCAGGTCTTCCAAGTAGCTGGAACTACAGGTGTGTGTGACCATGCCCAGCTAATTTTTTTGATTTATTGTAGAGACCAGGAATTGCCAAGTTGCCCAGGCTGGTCTCCAATACCCGGGCTCAGGCAATCCTTTTGCCTCCACCTCCCAAAGTGTTGGGATTACAGACATGAACCACTGCGCCTGGCTCACTGATCTTGTCATGGAGATTTTGCATCAATACAATATAGATACTGCTGTATGAATATTCACAATTTATTCAACAATTTTTGTATTAATGGATCTTGAAGCTATTTCAAATTTTTTATACTACTGAAAGAATTCCGCAACAAATTACAACATATATATATTATATATGTATTCCTAGTGCCCAATGCAAATATTAAAAGGACTGCTAGCCAGATGTGATGACTCATGCACTTTGCAAGTATTGCTTTAACCCAGGAGTTTGAGACCAGCCTGGGCAACATAGCAAGACCTCAGCTCCACAAAAAATTTTTAAAGAATTAGCTGGGTGTGAGGTACCTATAGTCCCAGCTACTCAAAAGGCTGAGGTGGGAGGATCATTTGAGTCCAAGAGGTCAAGGCTGTAGTGAGCTGGGACGGCACCACTGCACTCCAACCTGTGTGACAAAGCAAAACCCTGTCTCTCTCTCTCTCTCTTTCAAAAACACACACACACACAAAGACTACTAACTCAAATTTGACTGAGCCTATCACATTGCTTTCCAAAATTATTACTCTACTGGCATTAACATGCACTATATATATATACCTTAAGTATCACAACAAGCCGGACTCGGTGGCTCAGCCTGCAATCCCGCGCTTTGGGAGGCTGACATGAGCGGATTGTCTGAGCCTGTGGGCTCGAGACCCGCCTGGGCAACTTGGCGAGACCTCATCTCTACAATAAATTAAAAATTAGCCAGGAGCCGGGCTCCGTGGTTCAGCCTGTAATCCCGCGCCTTTGGGAGGCTGAGGTGAGTGGACTGTCTGAGCCCGCGGGTTCGAGACCCGCCTGGGCAACTTGGCGAGACCTCATCTCTACAATAAACCAAAAAAATCAGCCGAACGTGGTAGCGCATGCCTGTAATTCCGGCTACTCGAAAGGCTGAGGCGGAAGGATCGCCGGAGCCCAGCAGGTCGAGGCTGCGGTGGCCGGGAGCGGCCACTGCACTCCAGTCTGGGCGACAGAGTGAGACTCCAACTCAAAAAAAAAAAAAATTAGCCGGGTGTGGTAGCACATGCCTGTAGTCCCAGCTACTTGGAAGGTTGAGGCAGAAGGATCACCAGAGCCCAGCAGGTCGAGGATGCGGTGGCCAGAAGCAGCCACTGCACTACAGTCTGGGTGATGAAGTAAGACTCCAACTAAAAAAAAAAAAAAAAAAAAAAAAAATCACAACGATATGACAAAGAGTTGTAGTGAAAACTGCTGCCGGGCATGGTGGCTCATGCCTGTAATCCCAACACTTTGGGAGGCGTAGGTGAGAGGATTGCCTGAGTTCAGGGGTTCAAGATCAGACTGGGCAACATGGTGAGACTTCGCCTCTACAATAAATCAAGAAAAATTAGCCAGGTGTAGTGGTGCACGACTGTAGTTCCAGTTACTTGAAAGGGAGAAGGATCATCTGAGCCCAGCAGGTCAAGGCTGTGGTGGCCGCGAGCAAGCTACTGCACTCCAGCCTTGGCAACAGAGTAAGACTTCAACTCAAAAAAAAAACTGCTTTCACATGTTCTCACTTGAAATAGACATTAGTGATAGTAATAGATTACTTTTAGTTTGTGCCTGGTCCATAGTATTTGTAAGTATCGACTCATTTAATCTTACGTTAGCTACTGCTATATTCCCTCTTTAAAAATAAGGTTAAGTGAGACAAAGAGAACAGATAAATAATCCAAATTCACTCAGTTAATAAACAGTTCTTTTAGGAATGAATGTAGTCTGCTCCGGAACCCTTGCTAGTAACCACTATGCTATACAGTCACAGAACACACAACTTTCAAAGTATATAAAAGAAACAATCAAAATTTTAAATAAAGGTATTCTTTGTTCTATCTGCAGCTTATTTCAGAAGGCCCACCATTATGAAAATCATATACAACTCACTTTTCCTTCTCTACTATAAAGGTTAAAAAAATGTGTTTAATGTGAAAGTCATTTATCTTGGTTATCAGCTGGGTTCACTGGCTCACACCTGTAATCACAGCATTGTGGGAGGCTGAGGTGAGAGGATCACTTGAGGTCAGGATTTTGAGACCCGTCTGGGCACCACAGCAAGACCTTGCCTCTACAAAAAAAATACAAAAACTAGCTGGGCATGGTGGTGCTCGCCTGTAGTCCCAGTTACTCAGGAGGAGGAGGAGGAAAGATCAATTGAGCCCATAAGTTCAAGGCCACAGTAAGCAAGTCATGATCATGCCTGGGCAACAGAGTGAGACCCTTACTTAGAAATAGTAAAAATAAAGTTAGTTCAAAATAATGTACCAGCAAACCATTAGTAGTGCTCAGCAATCTTATCATAAAGTTGGAGGACACATGTGTTTCTTCCGTTCAAGTTTAAAGTCCCATTTGTTCTGTATGGCTAACTCTTATCACATTAAACATTTCTGCAATTGTTGTTACATAGTCACTTACTTTAATAAAAGCGTTTCACATGACTCTAAAGTTAATATAATGGCATTTATTACAACAGGGCTAAACTGCTGACAAATACTTAAGTAAAAAAATGTCAGCCGGGCTCGGTGGCTCAGCCTGTAATCCCGCGCCTTTGGGAGGCTGAGGTGAGTGGATTGCCTGTGCCCAGGGGTTCAAGACCCGCCTCGGCAGCGAGACTTCATCTCTACAATAAATCAAAAAATCAGCGTGGTAGCGCATGCCTGTAATTCCAGCTACTCGGAAGGCTGAGGCGGAAGGATCACTGGAGCCCAGCAGGTGGAGGCTGCGGTGGCCGGGAGCGGCCACTGTACTCCAGTCTGGGCGACAGAGTGAGACTCCAACTCAAAAAAAAAAAAATTAAAGTCTTCCCGAAACTTGATTTATGCAAATATCTTCAATGTAAAATTCAACTTCAGAAAGTCATTTTTAAAGCACAATATACAGGTATTATACTTACCAGTGTTTTTGATATAGGAAATACTTCAGACTTCACTATACTTTCCAAAGATTTTAGTAAGAGGGTCAAAACTTCAGAACCTGGTCTCTCTTTTTTGATACCTATCAAAAAGCAAAACAAAGGTGTAATGCTAAACATGTATTTTTAGAGATGAATATATATACTTATATCAAGGGCTACAAAAAATTTATTTGCTACTAAATCAATAAGAAATGCTTTAAATAAACTACAGTTGACCCTTGAACAACATGGTATTGAATTGCATGGGTCTACTTATACTTGAATTTTCTTCCATCTCTGCCACTCAGGACAAAAAGAACAACCCTTCCACTTCCTCCTAAGCCTACTCAATGTGAAGAAAAGAATCAAGACTTCTTTGATAATCAATTTCCACTTAATGAATACTAAATATATTTTCTCTTCCCTTATAATTTTAGGTGCTAAAAGTGACATTGTTTTCCCTAGCTTAGTATATTGTAATATAGCACATAGTGCCTATACATTTAAAAAATGTGTTATTCAACTGTTTTTATCATCAGTAAGGCTTTTGGTCAACGGTAGGTTATTAGTAGTTAAATTCAGCGGAAGTACAAAAGCTATATGTGGATTTTTATACTTTGTGGGAGGTGTGAGTAAAGTCAGTAATTCTAACCTCAGTGGTGTTCAAGGGGATCAACTCTAAATTAAAGTCTGGAAGCTACAAAAAATGATTTAAAATTAAACTTCAAATGTGAAAGCCAAAAAATTCACTGGATGCTACAAAAATCATTTTATCAGTGTAATATTGCTTACCTGATTCTGTAACTGACTTTACCAATCTAATTAACTCCTTCCAGATAGCATTGATAACCATATCTGTCAAACAAAATTGAGTATTTTTAATGAAGGGCAGATGACTAACAAAGGATCTCCCTTTTCTTCCTTATACTAAAGAAATAACAAACTGAACAATACATAATATAATTTTCCTTGTAATAGTCAACCTGTTATCAAGTTTGTAAAACACTATCACCTCATTTTTGTTTAAAAAAACAAAATGTGGCCGGGTTCAGCCTGTAATCCCAGCACTTTGGGAGGCTGAGGTGAGTGGACTGCCTGAGTCTGCAGGTTTGAGACCAGTCTGGGAAACTTGGTGAGACCTTGTCTCTACAATAAATCAAAAATTAGCTGGGCGTAGTAGCGCTGGCCTGTAGTTCCGGCTACTTGGAAGGCCAAGGCAGAAGGATTGCCGGAGCCCAGCAGGTCAACACTGGGACACTGGGGTGGTCGTGAGTGTGCCACTGCATTTCAGCCTGGTCATGAAGTGAGATACCAACACAAAAACAAACAAACAAAAAAATGTGAAAACTGGGAGCAAGGCTTATGCCTGTAAACACCACACTTTGGAAGGTCAAGAAGAGAAGATGGCTTGAGACCAGGAGTTCAAGAACAGCCTGGCCAACATAGCGAAACCGCATCTCCACATAAATAAGTAAATAAATATAAAGGAATATTTGTGTGTGTGTGTGAGTAGGAGTCTCACACTGTCAACCAGGCTGAAGAGGAGTGGCATGCTCATGGCTACCACAGCCTTGACCTGCTGGGTTCAGGAGATCCTTCACCTCAGCCTTCCAAGTAGCTGGAACTACAGGCATGTGCCCACCACGCCCAGTTAATTTTTTGATTTATTGTACAGATGAGGTCTCACCAAGTTGCCTAGTCTGGTCTCGAACCTGTGGGCTCAGGCAATCCTCCCACCTTGGCATCCCAAAGTGCTGGGATGACAGGCATGAGTCACCATTTTTTAAAAGGACTGTAGCACGGTAACAGTGGGTTATATATAACTATGGATATTTGCTTTTCTTTTCTCTGTCATCTTTATTTTCTGAATTTTCTGTACTGAATACCAACCACTTTTGAGACAAGGAAAATCAAATTCAGAAGAATATGTGACAATCAAAATAAAAAAATGTGTTTTCCAAACATTTAAAAAGCAAACTATTCCAGCTGGGCATGGTGGCTCACTCCTGTAATCCCAGTACTTCGGGAGGTGAAGGTGAGAGGACTGCCGGAGCCCAGGGGCTCAAGACCAGCCTGCGCAACTTGGCAAGACTTCATCTCTACAATAAATCACAAAATTAGATGGGCATGATGGCACACACCTATAGTTCCAGCTACTTGAAGGCTGAGGCAGAAGGATCACCTGAGCCCAGTAGGTTGAGGCTGCAGTGGTCATGAGCATGCCACTGCAGTGTGCAATCCAGCCTGGGTAGCAAAGTGAGACTCCAACTCAAAAAAAAAAAGGAAAAAAGAAAAGAAGAGAAAAGAAAACTATTCAATTTTAAAGTATCTTTTCCTCATTATTTGGTAGACTGTAGAACAAGAGTTTAGATGCAGGTGCTAGAGCTATATGGCCTGAGTATGAAATCACAGCATATCCACTTAACAATGTACTCCTCTAAGCAACCCAGTTTCCTCATTTATAAAATGGACTAACATAGAAGATTGTTGTGAGGATTAAATGAATTAACCATAAAGCTCTCATTGTATGATCTGGCCAAAAAGTGGCACCATATAAATATATGCTATATTAACTTTCTAAACACAGGTTTGAGCAAATAATGAAAAAATTTCTTTAAAAACTTACCAGAGGCAACTTTTCCAACTGCAACAAAGCTATCATGAACAGCACTGATAAATGTATTTGCATGTTTGCAAAAAAAAGAAGGACTGCTGATTAATGGATGTTCAAGTGGCTCTGAAAGGAGAATAAAAGACAATTATGTAAAATAAAAGGTGTATAAAATAAACCTCTCACATAAATATTTAAGTGGTCTATTAAATACATGTCTTCAATAAAGATTCATACTTGCTTTATACAAAAATACAGAATATTTTGACCGCAGGGAAACTAGTACCTCTCCTCACCCCAAAGCACTAAGTTCTAGACTGTTTTATTGACTGAAATTATTTTTAAAATATTTAAATACCTAAGCTCAGTACAAGTTTTTTTTCCTTAGCAAAATTCAAGACTTCTGGACCCAACAGAAAATGAAGTAACATTTCAAGTCCCAAAAGCTGAATGGAAGGAATTGTGGCCATTCCACCTAAATTCGAACTCAAGTTCATTCGGGGAGTTACAGAGGTTCCATATGGAGAGGAAGCACCTTTAGTGGGGGAAAAAAAAAAAAAGAAGCAAGTTGTGTAAGTTTATTTTATATTTGCTACCCAAATGCATATATTTTATTTCATTTCAATAAAATGTATCTTTAAAAATACAGGTTACATCTCTCAAGTATTAATCCATACCTTGAAATATTACTATGCAAGTCTTTCTGTAATCTAATATAAAAGTTTAGAAGACTGAAAATGGCAAACAACATAATAATAGCACCGGGCACGATGACCAAAGTCTGTAATCCCAGCACTTTGGGAGGCCAAGGTGAGAGGACTGCCTGAGCTCAGGGGTGTGAGATCAGCCTGGGTAACCTGGAGAGATCTCATCTCTAAAATAAATCAAAAAAATAGCCAGGTGTGGTGGTGCAAGCCTGTAGTTCTAGCTACTTGGAAGGCTGAGGCGGAAGGATGGCCAGTAGGTTGAGGCTGTGGTGGCCATGAGTATGCCACTGCACTCCAGTCTGGGTGACAGAATGAGACTCCAACTAAAAAAATTTAAAAAATAATAATAGTAACAGCAGGCAGGGTGCGGTAGGCCAAGCCTGTAATCCCAACACTTTGGGAGGCTGAGGTAAGAGGAGTGCTTGAGATAAGGAGTTTGAGACCAGCCTGGGCAACTTGGCGAAATCTCATAAATCAAAAAATAAGCTGAGTGTGGTAGCATGCACCTGTAGCTCCAGCTACTTGGAAGGTTGAGGCAAAGGGTGGCCAGAGCCCAGCAGGTCGAGAGGCTGCAGTGGCCATGAGAGTGCCACTGCACTCCAGCCTGGGCGACAGAGACTCCGACTCAAAAAAACCCCAACAATAATAAAAGTAATAGTAATAATGGCAAATAACTATCTTTTGGTGGTATACCTACTGAGCCACATTTCTGGTATCCAATAGTACGTGTTGTTTTAATAGTGCTATTATTCTAAAACCAACAGAATTTCATGTTAGCCATTCTGAGTTATTTTTCGTAATGTACCATGATGTAGCAGAAAAACATTCATCTTTTTAAACCACAACAATGCACTTGTAACAGTAAAAAGTAACACCAAGAGAACAAACAGGAAAAAATGGATTTTTTTGATAAGAGATTTAAAAATTACGAAACACTTCATTTGATGTGAAAAATCATTAAACAAAACCTCTTAAAGCCCCCCCTTTTCTCACTTCAAAACTCTGCCATTTGGTCATCAAAGGCTTTTGTTAAAAAGGAAAAAAAATGTCTACCTCTTACCTTTGTGTACAGGAGTCATAGAATTTAAACCTGGAGATGAAGTTACACGAGATAAATTGCCTTGAAGTGAGGCATTAGAATCAGTACTTATTGTGCTTTGAATCAGAGGCACACAAACCTATTGGGGTGGAAGAAAGGAAAACATCTATCTTTAAACTGTATAAGCATGATAGTTTATTAAAGCCTCACAAAATACAATTTAAGAAGCAATCTTAATTTGATATATTGAATTTTAGTGGTTGTTTCCATGTGCAAACTGGCTAAAAAATAAAATTTGGAAAAATGAGTATCTTATGACTATATTTGCTCTTAATGCACTATTACCTACTTATATAAACAACTTCACAGATATTGTGTTAGTTGCATGTTATTGGTAGACTCATTTTAACTTTTTTTTTTTTGAGTTGGAGTCTCACTGTCACTCAGGCTGGAGTGCAGTGATATGCTCACAGTCACTGCAGTCTCAACCTGCTGGGTTCACGTGATCCTTCCTCCTCAGCCTTCCAAGTACCCAGAACCACAGGCGTATGCCACCATGTCCAGCTAATGTTTCTGATTTATTGTAGAGTCGAGGTCTCACCAAGTTGCCCAGGTTGGTCTTGAACCTCTGGCCTCAGGTAATCCTCTCGCCTTGGCCTCCCAAAGTGCTGGGATTACAGGCTTGAGCCACCTCAGCCGTCTTCATTTTAACTCTTAAAAAACCCACTCTAGGAAATATAAACTAAGGCATCATAAAGTTCATTTCTAATCATTATATTAAAGTATCAGTCACATTTAGTCACTGAATAAATTATTCCATTTAATGTGTTGGACAAACGGATAATACCAGTCATTTATGGTTCCAACAAATGATTTCAACTATTATTCCAAATACATGTTACTAGCAATGCCAATCTTTAATTACTTCATGCTATAGCAAATGTAAATTAAGAACTTACTAAAAATGACTCAAAGATATAATTCCCCCTTGCCAAGAATGCAATCCCCGCTACATAGCTATTTATATGAAATATAAAACTACAGAGTCACAAGTAAAATGTGCCCCCCAAATCCAGGGTAAGTGATGGAAAAGGTAAGTTACCACAGCTGTCCCTTTTCATTTAACTGTAAAATAAACTGAAAAAAAGGATGGGAATTAAAAAACAAAAACAAGCCAGGTGTAGTGGCTCAAGTCTATAACTCCAGCACTCAGAGTCGAGATGACTGCCTGAGTCCAGGGTTCAAGACCAGTCTGGACAACTTGGCGAGACCTCATCTCTACAACAAATCATAAAACTGGCCAGGTGTGGCGGCACACACTTGTGGTTCCAGCTACTCAGAAGGTCTGAGGTGGAAGAAGGAGCACCTGAGCCCAGCAGGTAGAGGCTGCGGTGGCCATGAGTGTGCCACTGCACTCCAGCTTTGGTGACAAAGTGAGATTCCAACTCAAACAAATAAAAGAACTGATTCAGCTTTATATCCTACCAGTGTAGCACTTGATTTCTAGTTTATGAATGTTTATTTTCAATTATACTCTACATATAAGACATTTAAAATCATAATGCTTCTAGAGTAAGAATAGATACTTGCATGTTTGCTGGTTAAAAAGGTGTTAGAAAAGGGGTCTCATATCGGACAATTCCTTTGTAGGAAATGAACCCAAGATTTGTGTCGGTATAAAGAAAGATCTTATATATATTGTAGTCTGCTAATATTTAGCAAAAATAACTCTGAAGATAACGTTGGCAAGAATTTAAGAAAACATTAATTTAAAAAGGCACATAAAATGTTACAGTGAACACTTATAATGTTACCTGTTCAAAATTAGCCGGAAGATGAGGTCCGAGTCTCATCAGTAAATACCACCAGACTTCTAGTTTTGTTAACGCTAGAGTTTCTGTTCTCACATGAATGGAACTCAAAGGCTGCATTAACAACTTGAGTCTTTTTGCACTACATAGTATATCTTAAGAGAAAATGAACACACAGGTAAAGAGTTAAGAGCGAAAAACTAATCTTTAAAATGATCTAGGCAAAAGTCTCCTTTACCACAGCAAGACAACAAGTTAAAAAATTAAAAATAAACCATGAGCATGTTCTTACTCTACCCAAAACTTTCATTTTGACAAACCTCTAGTACAGCTGGACCAAAAGGCAATAAGGCAATACTGTATTAAGAAAGAAATAAGAAACATTTATTGTATTTCTTTTAGAGATGAGGTCTCACTATATTGCCCAAACTGGTCTTGAACTCCTGGGTTCAAACAATGATTGACTCCACCTCACAGAAAGTGCTGGGAATACAGGCATGACCTACAACACCCAGCCAGGTAAAAGTAATATTAGATACTATGAGCCAGGGAGATTTTCCCACCAGGGACATTTGGCAACATTTATGACAGTTTTGGATGTTAAAGGTGAGGGGATGCTAGTGGGTAGATTAGGGACAGTGCTAAACTTTCTAAATCACATAGGGCAGTTTCAAACAAATAATCCAGTGAAAAATGCCAAAACTTGGAGAAATACTGTACTTGCTGTTTTAACAGTCTCATTACCTTTATTTGACAAGGAAATTGAAGCATATTTTTACATTATATCAAAAAAGGTAGGCTGGGTATGGTGGCTCGAGCCTGTAATCCCAACATTTTGGGAGGACAAGGTGAGAGGATTGCTTGAGAGCAGGCGTTTAAGACCAGCCTGGGAAACGTGGTGATACCTCGACTCCACAATTTAAAAAAAAAAAAAAAGCCTGGGCATGGTGGCACACAACTGGAGTTCCAGCTAACTTGGAAGGCTGAGGTAGAAGGATCACCTGAGCTCAGCAGGTCGAGGCTGTGGTGGCTGTGGAGCATGCCACTGCCCTCCAGCCTGGGTGACAGTGAGAGACTCCAACTCAGAAAAAAAAAAAAAGTCTATCATTTAAAAAAATCAATTCGTGGCCAGGCACAGTGGCTCACACCTATAATCCCAGCACTTTGGGAGGCCAAGGTGAGAGGACTGCCTGAGCTCAAGGGTTCAAGATCAACCTGCAGAACTTGGCAAGACCTCGTCTCTACAATAAATCAAAAAAGTAGCCAGGCATGGTGGCACTTGCCTGTAGATCCTTAGCCTGAAGGATCACATGAGCTCAGGAGGTTGAGATAGTGGTGGCCGTGAGCATACCACTGCACTGCAGCCTGGACACAGTGGGACTCCAACGCAAAATAAAATAAAAAATTTAAAAATGAATACAAAAAATAAATTTGTAATGTATTTTACCCAACATCATTAGTGTTGGGGTCACTGATTAAAATTTGGAAATCTAGCCGGGCTCGGTGGCTCAGCCTGTAATCCCGCGCGCCTTTGGGAGGCTGAGGTGAGTAGATTGCCTGAGCCCGCGGGTTCGAGACCCGCCTGGGCAACTTGGCGAGACCTCATCTCTACAATAAATCAAAAATTAGTTGGGCGTGGTAGCACGCGCCTGTAGTTCCAGTTACTTGGAAGGCTGAGGCGGAAGGATTGCCGGAGCCCAGCGGGTCGAGGCTGCGGTGGCCGGGAGCGGCCACTGCACTCCAGTCTGAGCGACAGGGTGAAACTCCAACTCAAAAGGAAAACAAAACAAAAAACAAACAAAAAACTACTCTGCCATTTAGCTACTTCAGTCAACACTTCTCTAAGAAAATAAAGTCAAATGACTATGTGAACAACTCCTCCACAGTCAGAGACACTTCCTTTTTTTGGCTCCTAATCTGTTCATTAGATGAGCTCCGTAATAAAATTCCTATAGTAGGAGAGATTATTAATTGCCATGCCATGCCTTTAATTACAAAAACTGACTTTACTCAAGATGGTGGTGGGTACTGAATCGTTTACTTATTTTTGTCTGCCATTAAGTCATTCAGTCCAGAAAGATTTAAGTAGAAAAATGTTATGTGGGATTCTTGGAAGGGTCTTTATAAGTAGATGACTCAGCTGAGAAAAAGTCTCTTCTGCTCTTTTGGGTACCCGTCCTGTAGTCTACATCTAAAGCATATTGAAGATGACATGACAAGACAGTCATCTGATTCCTCACTGACTTTCTGGATCCATAATACTATTCATGGACTCTCTAGTTCTCGTAGTTCTGGATTTTACTTCAAACAACATATAATTTTTTTTGAGTAGGAGTCTCACTCTGTCATCGAGGCTGGAGTGCAGTGGCATGCTCAAGGCCACCGCACCCTCGACCTGCTGGGCTCAGGTGATCCTTCTACCTCAGCCTTCCAAGTAGCTGGAATCACAGGCATGTGCCACGCTTAGCTAATTTTTTTAATGGATTTTAGAGATGAGGTCTTGCCATGTTGCTCAGGTTGGTATCGAACCCGAGCTGAGGCAATTCTCTCACCTCCGCCTCCCAAAGTACTGGGATTAAAAATGTGAGACACCATGCCCAGCCA